AAAAAGGAAGACAAGCTCAGGGGCCTCACTACTCCCCTTTTTATATCCACCAGATGAGCCAGACGAGGGGACGGCCCAGATATACCATACCCAGGAAAGGTACGGGCCAGACGTCTTCCAAGGGATTATCCCTGATACCGGAGCATCACATTGGTCTACCGGGGGACAGGGCCAGTTGGAAGCGCTACAGAAGATCTACCCAGCAGCGCTCGACAGGTCGAAGGCAGGCATCGCCGTTATCAGCTTCGGCCCAGGGGACCAACTGGTGGGAATTGGTACGGTGAGCATCACCACCACCTTCGGAACCATGACCTTCCATATCCTTCCGGTCAATACACCCTTTCTGTTATGCCTCAGAGATATGGACCGGTTAGGCATCACATTCGAGAACCTCAAGAACCGGGTCTCCAATGGCACGCACTTCGAAAAAGTAGAAAGACGATGGGGCCACGCATTTATGAAGCTCGAGACCGCAAGCAGGTCGGTATACTACTTGACCGAGGTTGAGCTCAGGAGATTACACAAGCGTTTTGGGCACCCATCCGTCCCGAGATTACAGAACTTGCTCAAGCAGTCGGGCAACGACGTCGAGACCGAGGCCTTGGAGCACATCACGAAAATCTGCCATCAATGTCAAATGAACGCCCAAAGGCCGCGCAGATTCCGCTTCAAGTTGCAAGATGAGATTCACTTCAACTGGGAGATCGTTATCGACATCTTCTACCTCAACGGCAAGCCGGCTCTTCACATCATTGATTCGGCCACATCATTCCAAGGTGGACAGTTCCTCGACGACCTCCAGGCGAAGACGGTGTGGGCAGCAGTCAAAAGAGCGTGGATCGACACGTACCTCGGCCCACCTGACGGCATAAGAACAGATGCCGGAACCAGCTTCAAGTCCACGGAATTCAGGGATAATGCGAAATCATACGGCATCCAACTGAAAGTGGTACCAGTCGAGGCACATCACAGCATCGGCAAGGTGGAAAGGGCACATCAGCAGCTGAAAAGGGCATTCAAGATAATCAAAGACGAGAATCCCGGTGCCCCTGACGAAGACTGCCTCCAATCAGCATTCAAATGCTGCAATGATACCATGGGACCAGAAGGACTAGTCCCAACGCTCCTCGTCTTCGGTGCTTATCCAAGAACGACCACAGCCTCGCCACCGTCACTAGACGTAGTCCAACGCGCGAAGGGCATCGAGAAGGCCATGAAGGCGCTACGCGAGGTCAATGCGAGGAGGCAAATCAATGAAGCCCTGGCTACACGTAATGGACCAGACATCTCATCGAACCTCGACATGCCACTAGGCTCAGACGTGAGAGTCTGGAGGTCAACTACAAATCAATGGACGGGACCATTCAGACTAATCTCCGTCGACGAGCGATCGTGCGTCGTAGCCAGAGATCGAGACCAACCGTTGGAGGTATCGATCACTGCTGTACGACCCTACTTGAGAGACGACAACGAGGAGATCGCAGATCAACCACAAGAAAGAGGAGAGCCAGGGGAAGACCTACCTCCACCCCCTGAGATTGAGCAGGAAGTTGTCCTCGACGAAATTATCGTCGCAGCACCCTCAGACGATGAGGACGACGAACCCGACGACCAACAAGCAGAAGACGAAGAGCCACCTACCCAGCACAGTCCATCGCCGACGCCGCCGCCAAAGCGAGCCCCAACCAGGGATTGGAACACTTCATCGACAAGGGGAAGGCCACGGTACGAATGGAGGGATGGGTCACACGGAAGGGACCTCGGAAGGAGGAGAAAGGGGCACATTAGACAGCACTGGTCTTACACGCCTGATACACGACTTCGCAGCGTTCGAATTATCCTTCCAACCGTACCAGTTAGACGTTAAAAGAGAGAGATAGTCAGTGTCGGATTGGAAGTCCAATTCGGCCGCGAGTAGGGGAAGAGCATGGGCCACCTCGAGGGGGTACACTTAGACCTCGACTACCCACCCAACCTCCGGTTGGAATCTCCCTTCTACTCCTCACGCAGAATCAATCAATACAGAGATATTGATACTTCGTCACCCCCAGGACCCTACGGTTCGAACCAAATTCCCTGTGAGAGGAATACCAACAGAAAGACTATCTGAAAACATGCCATGAACAGGCCGTGTGTTTCTGTGAGACTAGTTGTAGGTATTACAAAAGAAAACGCCTTGCTGGGAGGCCGGTGAGAAGCCCTCGTCTATGCAAAGAAAACGTAACATCCACCTGTCGAGGGTATATGATACCGAAATGCCACCTTGACAAAGAAAATGTTGAAACGTGTTTACCCTATCCACATCACCATGCCCCTCGTTCCCTCGACACTCATCCAGACGACGGTTGTCAGCTACGTTGGCTTTTACAATGCTCCCAAGACGAACACCATACCAACAAAGGACCAAACCCATCTAGACACCTCAACCCTCTCTCCAGCACCATAGTATCCGCGGCCGCCGCCCCAACCACCCCCACCATTGCCCCAGCCCCAAGAGGTATCAAGTTCACACTCCCCATCGAAATCAATGGTATCCGTCCTTCCAATAGGCGAGCAGAGAGGCGGTGATGAAGACGATGACTCGGCATCGTCATTGCTATTCCCGGTGCACGAGTTAACGGGGCTCCATGTCCCGTTGAGGCAATACTGGAATGAATCCGAGAGACAGTTGTATTGGCCCTCATACCCCTCGCAGGACGTCTCGGCAGCGATGGCAAGGTGCGAAAGGTCCTCCATGACTGTTGTGTCTCTTGCTTGTTTGTCGAAACCTGGTTCTGGGACTGGGGAGGGTGTCGCAAATGTGCGGTCGACTAGGAGGGCTAGGAGAAAGAAGACGAGAAGGGTCGAGATCACGCTTTTGCGTCTGCATGGTTGGAGGCGTGAGAACATGGCGAGACAGCTTTCAGAAATATGACTGAAGCGATTGTCTACTCAGTACTCTGAAGAAGAGGAAAGGTTTGGGTTTGGGAAGACAGGAGAAAGAGAGAGACCGGTTCTTCTTCAGCTTGATGTAGAGTATTGTGCGCGAGAAGGCTGAGACGAGCGCGTAAGTCGGCACATTAGCATACAAAGCTTACTCAAGGAGCACCCCGAGTATATACCTCCTCTTCCCCTCTTGGAAGTAGCTGAAAGACCATGCCTAGAGTTAGCCGAGAAAGGACCCGAGGCCAGCCCAGCCTAACAAGTTAGTCAGACCCATCGAGGAATGACGAAGTTGATCAACAGTCTCCTTTACTACCTCCGGATTCTGTGTCATCCTGGCAAGCTCGTGAAGAGACTATGACTGTCAACACATGTCGAACCCCCCTCGCTCCCGCCATATTGTCTCAGAAACTAGCTCCTCTCGCCGTGAGACTGTCGGAGCTTGGGCTCGTCGGAACAAGGCACCAGACCGTCGCTGAGTTGTCAGCTGGACCATAGTAGTCATGGTCAAGACGTGTAGACGTGCCATTGGGCCGTGGTGTTCTAGCTCGTTCACAGAGTAAAACTTCAAGGTGAAGTTTCCCATCAACTTCATGCGCAAACAGCTGCAGGAGAGAAAATAGCATGGATCCTGCAAGCTCTAGTCATGTAGATCGGCCAAGCAAGCTGTATCTTTCTTAAGCTTACACTCTAGCTTCCCTACCAAAGCCTCCTACCAAACTCTCCGGGAGTTGTCATGCATAAACGGACTCCCGTGGCACGGATTCGTCGGCACAGACTTGGCTCACCTTACGCACGCCCTCTGCTCCATATCGATTGTAGAGGTTGCGAGCAGGCCCGTAATCCTGCAGGAACCCGACTCAGAGCACAATTGTCCAGGCAAGACATGACGAACATCTTTTGATTCCTAGGTATGGGTGACTATTAATCTCGAGGTGTGAAGCTAAACAAAAGTAGAGTATGAACGCATCCCAGGAAACCCATGAACCGGTTCGTGATGTCCAACGTGTTCTCGCGTTGGTTGATGGTGCTAGTCGGTTAGCGTTGGCGCTACTTTTCCTTCCACGCACCAATGAGGTGACCGATGCCTACAGTTTCTGGAAGGCTAGCCAGCGCATAGTTGTCTACTTGTTTGAAAAAAGATGTGAAGCGGAAATCCTGGTGTTGTGGTAATATTGCAGCTATGTTACGCTGAGCTGCGGCCTGGCATGCATTGCTCTACGTGACCCGACTTCCTCCGCATGCATGTAGAATCGTTTCCCGAGACAAAGGCGAAGCGACAATTAAAATCTGAATGAGAAGGATTCTCGTCCCTAACGGATTCCAAAAACAGAGATTGTAATAGACAGAAGTCTGCCTACTAAGGCAAAGTGGCGCAAACGTCCAAGCCGGAAGCAAGTCGGGCTTCGTGAGCGGGAGTCGTCCCTCTCACACATGCCAAACCTCCACACGTCTAATTTCGTCATCGAAACTCCCTAAAAGGCCCTCAAACAACCAACCCCATCATTATATCTGCCCTATGATTCTCCAGCCGTGATATCTCCCCGCACTCGCATTGTGCACACGAAACGGAGGACTAAGACGGCCTCTACGCCGCCTTAGCCCGTCTTTTGCGTGTAATCCATGCCAGGAGATAGTGCCCCCCAATACCCAAGATCAAGAAGCCGGCAATGACGAGAATAGGACTCGCAATAGCACCTGGTGGCGCAGCGGGCATGGTGTTGGTAGTGTGATGTTCACTCGTGTCATTCCAGCTAGCACGTGTGTTTCTTTTCATAACAAGGTGTTTGGCGGCCATGATCTCGACTGGTAGATAGTACTCACCATGCCGAGGGTGATTGGCGCTCTGTATTGCAGGTGAGATGCGTGTGGCTGATAAGACAAAGTCTCAAGATGGTGCAAGCCACACCTCCTTGATGGTTTTGGTTTCGTACCTGATCATCGAAATGAGGAGCACTTCTCTGAGAGTAGCTGAAAATGCCTTGGGATGGCACACACGCGTGAGAAACTTGCCAAAGTCTGACCTATCCTGTGGTTTCATGGAGGCCGAATTATAGCCATCGACTACTCCGTCATTCCATAGGCGAGGCTCTAGTCGGTATTGTAGATGACACTAGAACCACGGCATTCTGCTTCGAGCACGTGGGAGGACGAGGTATCATACGTAACGGTTTGTTGAGTATATACAAGTTCTATCTTATTAGACATTAGGAAACCCATTGACGACAGCGCTTTCCAGCTCTTGGTCTGTGCTGCTGTGAGCTCTCTTCCCACAGTCCGAGATGGCCCTTGGCCCTAATGCGTCGTTTCTCAGGTCTCGTTTGCACGCGCTGCTCATGCTTTATGAAATCAAACAACCTCCCATGTTCTAGCAGAACCAATTACGCCATGCTAGGGATATGCAAAACACTTGAACAGTACATCAGACATAACTCGTCTCTTCAATAATAGATAAAAGGAAACCGGACCTCCGCTTCATCGGCGATAGCGAGGGGTCGCGCTGGCAGTACCGTTCCACTCGGGATACTTGGTGGTAGACCAGTCACCATCGTCAAAGCTCGTCGTAGACTCCGGGATCGAGGACGACGTTGTCACGCTGATGATGCTGGTGACGAAGGTTGAGGGTTGAGGGAAAGAGCTGGGCGTCTGCACCCATGATATTTGGTAGGTGGTCTCATAGATCTGGGTGGGAGTCGGAGGCGTGTAGGTTTCCGTGACACTCGTGCTAGTAGAGGACAAGGTTGTTGTCGTCGAGATTGAGGATGATGAGGTCGTGTTGGGCGGATGGACAGAAGACGGCTCTACAGGAGGAGCTACATAAGACGTCGGCTCAATAGGGGTTGCCGTGGGCGGGGGAGGCTGGATGACAACTGCAGAAGACTCAATCGGCGTCGATGCCGGCTCACTTGGAGCAGCCCACGTTGCTGATGACTGAGGGGGCACCGCAATGACCTCGGAGGAGCTGGAGAGTGCGGCTGCTGAGGATGATGCTGGAGATGAAGCAACAGATGTCCACGTCGAAGGAAGAGGCTCAACTGCTCCCGTGGAGGGGCTGACAGACGGCGCCGGAGACGCACTTGGAATAGCCTGAGTTTCAGTCGAAGGAGGAGGAGGCACAACAATGGCGGTGGACGAGCCGACGGATGCTGAAGATGGTGCCACGGGGGTTTCTGTGGAGGGTGGCAGCTCGATAGCAGATGTCGATGGCGACGAAGGCACTGGCGAAGATGGGTCAGGCGATGCCGACGTCTCGCTTGATGAAGGAGGCACCACGACAGGGGTGCTCGAGGATGGTGTCGGGGTCGACGAAGGAACGACAACGCTCGATGGGATGTCAGGCGTTGTTGTTGATGAAGGAGCTGGCTGGGCAGACTCTGATACTTGAGTTGACAGTGCAGCGGAAGACGGCGCTGGCTCAGCAGAACTTGGCGGAGGGGCAGCTGGTGGTGTGGTTGCTGCTGTCGTGGGCGTGGCAGTCAAATGTGTTGATTCAGGGGTAGGCTTCACACTTGGGTAGACAGTGACGGTTGCTGGGCCGCTGTCTGTGGTGCCATCGACGTTCACGATGATGAGCGATGTAGAAGTTGTCTGCACTGGAGACGATATCTCGGTGACGGTATCCGTGACTCTCTCTGTCACCGTGGTCTGAACTGGCGATCTGGTGATAGTGACGACTGCCGGGTCGGTGCTGGGACTTCCCTCAACATTGACGACCGAGTAGGTCTTTGTTGGTTTTGTGCCACGAAGATGTAGAAGACGATCAATGAGGGGGATCGCGTTTGCTGCTGTGGAGACGGATAGCAGCAGCGGGAGGGAAGCAGAGGGGCGCATCTTGACGATGGGCCAGCAGCTGCTGGCGGTGTAATGTGTTTGAGAGAACTCGTCTCAAGTCTGGTGCTTCAAGTTGACAGGCCTGGTAGATGCTGTGCTTGGAGCTGCTGCAGGATGAAGGACGGACACTGACAGGATGGTGGATATCGATGCCGATCGAATACGAATAGTTGCAAAAGCGACTGTACTCCGTAGGGTATACGAGAAAAAACTGGAGAAGCAAAAGGAAAAGCAAACAGAAGGATGCGTGGGAGCCATGGTGGTTTTACTACGCTGCACTAGCAAACGTGGATGGCTGGGTGAGGGAAGCTCGGAAAAGATCGTGATGGGAAATGGTGGTGGTTGGGAGGTTGGAAATGGCTCCATTTTGGTGGTAGTGCAGCTTCCAAGGCGATAGGCTGGTTGGCCAGGGACATAGCGACACAACGGCACCAATGGCGGGGGAGCAACAGGCCCAAATGGCCCCAAATGGCCCAGGAAGGTGACGGGAGGTGGGCAGCAGCCAGGCAACGCGTGGGACGCCAGGTACGGGCTGGGTTGAACGACGGCTGCCCAGCCACCCGCGTTCCTGTTGCTGTTGCAACTCAGCTAGGTAGGAGACTCGACACACCTCGCAAGGAGCTGTGGAGAATTTGTCCAACGTTTGGTAAAAGTGGCAGATGCAAGAGTGAAACCGTCAACGGCAAGTGGTCACTAGTGACGAGGTTTCCATTCGGATTGCAGGCTGGTGGCGTACCTTGTCAAACCACATCCCAGCACATGCTTTCGATGCTAGTATAGATTCCTAAGGTAAGGAGGCACGGAGGCTTCGTTATGTAATCACTAGCCACCGGGGAGCAGCCACCGTGGAGTAGCCACCAGCCACCAGCCACCAGCCACGAGTCCCAAAAGCCACTCGGAAAACAAGGCCGAGATCTGTCAGCAAGTGGCTGTGCGGCCGGGGAAGCAACTCGCCGATGGCCCATGCATCGGAGCCTTGGCCTGGCTTGCCCCTGCGTCTTCCTTTTCCTCTTCCAGACGAACCCTTCCCTTCGACTCTCCGCTCCGCTCCCACCGCAGCACCGCAGGCACTTCTGTCTGCCCGGTCCACCTCCTAAGCTTCTTCACAAGAACCACCCGCCAAAGTCGTGCATGGGCAAGGAAGCTCTGGCCCCCAGGGCCCAGCGTGCATGTCATCTCGTAGGGCAGCAGGGTCGTCGTCGATCACACCTTGCGCGTTTGTTTGCTCTACTTCGTACTCCCTAGCTCTGGATATTTGGACTGATCTAAGGTCTGCAGCATCTCGAACTATCTCTTTATACATCGAATCAATGCCTCTTTCATCGTGCAGTGAATAGGAAACATGCATACCCCAACACCCTCGCATCGGACTGCAGCAATGGCGGACAGGAGCCGAGACATTTGGCAGTGTTACCTCGATTACGCATCTCTGTGGCGCTGACAGCAGCTCAGCAGGGTTGGCGCCTTGGAGGATGGAAACATTTGGACGTTCTGGTCGCTTTCTGTGGACCTCATCGCACTGCCCACGCCGCCCAGAAGTCGTTTTTAATCTTCCAGGTGGATGACGTTGAGTTTCTCTGCTGGGCGCGTGCCTACTAAGCCACCACACCAGCCTGGGCAGACCGTCTCGCAGCCCAATTACTTTGGCTTTTTGCTGCTGACTGCTGGGGAACAGCTCCGCGTTCGGGTCGACTCGTCGGATTCGATCTACCACCTTAGCTCAAGCTCTTACCACCAAAAGGAAGCAGGTGACGGCCGGAAAGGATCACCTCCAGCTTCCCCTCTCAGCAATAGCAGAGGGCCCAAACACGCAATTCTTGCCTCAGCAGCAGACTCACAGCCACACACCGGTCTCGTCGTCGTCACCTCGCTTGACTCTTGAGACCCCGTCGTGTCCGTCCGCCGCATGTAAGCTTTAAAATAAGCTACGCCGCCCAGTCCCATCTACGATTCTCTCATCCGACTTTCCGTCTTCTTGCATCTCGTCACCTTGTGCTGCCCCGCAGTCATTTACACAGTAGAACACACCTACGAATACGCAGTTCACCTTTCCCTAACATCCAATACCCCACCCCCGCTGACCTCTGACGCAAACGCGCCCCCGATTCACCCGGCATCGTCAACCGATCGAACTCTGCACGTCGCATTCTAGACTTCAATGTCCTATCCAGGCCAGTACGGCTACGGCGCCCGTAAGTTGCATTCCGCGCCAATGCGATCCTCCTATGCTTGTTCTCTAGAGCCTGACACCGATTTAGAGCCTCACGGCCAGGGCTACGGCCAGCAGTACCCGCCTCCTCAACAGGGAGGCTACAGCGGATCACCATACCCCCCTCAAGGAGGCCAGTATCCTCCTCCTCAAGGTCCTCCACCCGGCCAATATGGTGCACCTCCTCAACAGGGCGGGTACTATCAACAACCTCCTCAGGGCCAGTATCCCCCGCAAGGCGGACACTACCCCCCTCCCCAAGGTCCTCCGCCGGGCCAGTACCCGCCCCAGGGCGGCGCAAACGGCGCACCTCCCCCGATTCCTCCTTCGCCCTATGGCGGACACTCCCCCGCGCCCGGAGGCTACGGCGCACCACCAAATCAGTCATATGGCGCTCCCCCGCCTCAGCACTACGGACCCCCGACCCCCGCGTCTATGGGATACGGCGCTCCGCAGATTATCCAGTGGGATGCCACACCTGACGCGACAACAGCGCGCAACGCAATGAAGGGCTTTGGCACAGACGAGAAGACTCTCATTCGCTGTCTGGCTACCAAGGACCCTCTGCAGATCGATGCCATCAGAACGGCGTTCAACAGGAACTTCAGACGCGATCTCGAGCAGGATATTAAGAAGGAGACAAGCAGTTGGTTCCAAAACGGCCTGGTGTCTGTCGCCCGCGGCCCTCTCCGCTCCGACATCTACAACCTATACGAGGCAATGGATGGAGCCGGCACAAAGGAGAGCGTCCTCAACGACGTTCTCCTTGGCCGGTCAAATGCGGATATGCAGGCGATCAAGAGCGCATACCAGCAAACCTTCAAGAGGCGCCTGGAGGACGACGTCAAGGGCGATCTCAGCATGAAGACAGAGAGGCATTTCCTCATCGTCCTCGGTGCCAACAGGGCAGAAGACTCGGCGCCTGTTGTGCCGCAGCAAGTCGACTCGGATGTCATGGAGTTGTACAAGGCCACTGAGGGCAAGGTTGGCACGGATGAGATGCTTGTTTGCAGCATCCTGAGCACCCGCAACGACAACCAAATCCGCGCCATTAACCAGGCCTATGAGCAAAACTTTAGGAGGAAGCTTGAGGAAGTTATCAAGAAGGTAAGCCAGCCCACTGAATATGCACATCATACCTAATACTAACTTTACGCGATAGGAATTCTCTGGACACATGGAGGACGCCCTTCTCTTCCAGCTCCGCAATGCTGTTGACAAGTACATGCACGCCGCCAAGCTCCTGGAGGACTCGATGGCCGGGCTCGGCACCAAGGATCACCTCCTCGTCGCGCGCGTGGTGCGTTTCCACTGGGACAAGAATATGCTCGCCAACGTCAAGGGCGCGTACCAGGCAAGGTACAACCGCAGTTTGGCGAGCAGGATCAGGGGCGAGACGAGCGGCGATTATCAGAGGCTGATGTTGGCGTGTATCGGCGAGAACATTTGAGCAGTGACACGCGCGCGGAGTGCGAGACCGAATGATACCCCTGGGCTGGGACGGACTTTTCATGAGATAATGGCCGGGAATGATGGATGGATGAATGGGCTGGGAGGCTGGGAGGCCGTGAGTGCCTATGATGGCCGAGCTCGCAACGAGCAGAGATAATCGGACACTCGGTATGGTTATCAATAGTTTACTGTAATGACATTCTGGACTCTGTTCTGGATTTGCAACACAACAGCTCTTTCAAGGTGCTCTGGGTGGTGACACAATACCTCCATGTTTGTTCTCGGCGCCAAAGACGCTGTCAATTTCTTGTGCGTACCTTGCCTTACGCAACAAATTCGGTTGCACCTGATCGTCGATGTCGCAATGCTTTGGAATCGCTCAAGTGCAGACCTGGTTCTTACTGCTCATCATGGTGGCCCGAATGATGTGCGCCTGCGGCCTCACAGGTTGCGACAATATGTGGAGAGACTTTATTGCGACTTATTAATAACTAAATGGGCTAAAAATGTTACTTTTTCTGCAGTAATTGCTCCAATTTAACGCCGAATCCGGAGCCGGACAATCTGATTGGGTGCGCCGAGTCCAAGCGTCTTATGTGCACCGCGGGCAGTCGCGAATGTGTGACAGATTCTCATGTCATGACAAAGCATTGAAAAGTGCACCCAATCAAAACGGATCTAAAGGGGTAAGAGCGGGTCTTTCCTGCCAAAAACGCTATAGCAGGATATAGCACCTTCTCCAGCCCTTACTTATAGCGCTCTCAAGGCCCCCCCCCCCCCCCCTCCTTCTGAAATAGTCACTAATTAATTTTTCTACTAATCAAGACGTGGCCCCTCCTCCGCCCTAACTTTTCCTACTTTTTTCACCTTTACTTAACGAATCCGTGCTCCACCACGACTGCCCGCTTGTTTGCGCAGAACGGCGCTTCGACGACGGCCACGACCTGGCACCACGATCAAGATCGCGAACTCGGGATCGACGTCAAAGAACGCGTTTGATAGAAAACTGACGCGTCAAATCGTGGACAGTGAGCAGCTTCTTCTTTTCGCATCATTGAACCGCCACTGACACTCAAAAAAAAAAGGTTGCACCTGACCGTTTCTGGTCTATGGACGACGATCTTATTCAACTTAGAGTCGTTCTTTCTTCCACCAGTGTACTTGGCTTATTAACCATCATCTTCCACCTCTCGGCTTGGCCACAAGATCACTTTCGACAAAGTAACCAAGAGGCTGGCCAAAGATGGCATCACCAATGATGCAGCAGCCTCCCATGCCCAACGGCGGCGCATCCAACCATGGACCAGTTCGACAATCCGTATCACCAGCTATGCCGGCAAACCATCTGAATGGGAACGGCGCCTGTCCTGGCACCGCTTCGCATTCTCCCGCCTTCCATCAGCCGTCGCAACCAGCTTCGGCTCCCAAGCAAACACCGGTGCCTGTCCCTGTACCAGGTGCCGCGAATGGAGCCAAGCCCCCTGTGGTCCCTGTCACCTCGGATATTCCGCAAGGAACTCAATCAGCGTCGCCTCAGCTTAGCAGCAATCTCGATAAGAACAAGAGATTTCACGACGACTATGCTCGCCTCTCCGCTGCGATCCAAGAGGCTGACCCGGATGCCGTTAGGCGTGCCATTCGGGACAACCATCCCAAGTGCCTACTTGGCTCACACTATCACCTGGCTTTTCTTGTGAGTACTTGTCGCGGGTATCGCACATTCTAAGAAGGAGACCTGAGAGGCTCTTAACGGATTACGCATGACTGACCATTGGGCAGATGAACGTCACCATGCACCAAGCCGACGTGGGAATCTTCCAGAGAGCCGTCAGGGACTTTGGCGCAAGGTTTCTGGAGGCCGGCAAGCACGAGCTTGTCAATGCCATGACCCCGGCTGACATCGACGAGGTGGCGGACAAGATTCTCGCCAAAGCCTCGGACACATTTCTCGACAGGGCTCTCGTAGCTCGTCTACGAACCATCCAGGCACGCCGACTTGTCAATGCCCTGGCGCGGGCGGAGAGACTCGGATACGATGCTGCAGACATTGTCGAGAATGAACATGTCATCCCCTCCTTGCCTGGAACCACTCCTGCGGCTCCTGCTCAACAACAACAACAACAACAGCAACAACAACAGCACCTGCAGCAGCAGCAACAGCAGCACCAGCAGCTTCAACAACAACAGCAAGTTGCCCTCGCGCGAACGAACTCCTTTAAGAGTGTCAACCAAAAGCCAGAGCTCCCTGTGCAACCCCAGGAGCCAGCAGATCCTGCCAACCCGCAGTGCATCTATTGTCATCGGACCTTCCCAGGGGTATCCGCCTACCAGCATGTGAGTGATGGTCCCAGTGGTGATCATGACCAAGCTAACCGTCTGCAGCACGTCAAGAAGAAGATCTGCGTCAAGACGTCTCCGTTATCAAGATCAACTAGTGAGGCGTACATGTGCTCTCACTGCGCACAAAGATTCGGCGGCATGGCTGGCTTGCAATACCACATGCTGAACAAGGTGTGCGGCGACTTTGGGGAAGTTATCAAGGATGATATTGCTTCGATCCCAAAGTCGTCCCTGCCGCCGCCCATTCTGAACCCCCCCGTTAAGCGGCCAGCGCCAGCTCCCGACAGCACCCCGACGTACATCGCGTCCGGAACCAACAGCCCGGCGTACACAACCCCCATGCCATCAAACACCCAAACACCTCGCGCCAGCTCTCAGGTAGTTGATCTCTCCAACGCTCCATTGGGCACTCCTCAACACAAGGATATGGCCCATCTCACAGTTTATCAAATTGAGGCACTCAAGGGCGAGCTGCAGCTAGCCGAGAAGCAGTTCAAGATGAAGATTGACGGTGCGCAGAAAGCCGGCGGTGACCCTGATAAACTACAGAAGAAGCTTGCGGGATTCAAAAACTCATACGCATGCAAGCAGTCCACTATTCGCAAGAAGTACGGCATCAAGCTACGCCAGCGACGTAATCGCGAGGAGATGGAGGCGGAACGCCAGCGCATGGGCATGCCTGATGGTGTACCGCGCACGATACCAACGCCGAGTAAAGAGGGCCATGCTGACAAGCGAGCTCGTCTCAATGGCGAGGCTGATGCGTCAACGACGCAGACTTCGCGGAGCCTCACCCCGATCCAGACAGTTGCGGTGACGGACATGGCAAACGGCCTTAACGGTTCCAACGCGACGGCCGCTACACAGGACCCGACGGCGAGCATGTCGCAGCCGGCTACTTCCGCACAGCCTATACCCTCACAGCCGGTGGCCAGTCGGCCGCCGCCGTCGACATATCATCAAGGCAACTACAGAGTTGAGGTCCACGTTCCAAGCCCGTCGAAGAAGGCCGGGTCTGCCGCTCCGGACGAAAGTTCGATGGACAACACGCCATCGAGGGCGTCGTCCAGTGGCGGTATGACGGCAGAGCAGCTTCTCAAGCAGATGCGGGGTGGTGATGGAGCCCCCTTTGAGCTGGACGACGAAGAGAGCTCCTCCGAATCAGACTCTAGCTCTGACGAAGAAGAGTGAGCGCATCGTCAGATATAACACGTTTGCTTTTTGGCGATTCTTCTTACATCAGCATTGTTTCGCGACGAGACTTGCCATTTCGTGGGTCTCGGCAGACGACTCTCTCCGAGGGATGAAGAGGGAGTATTTGCACTATCTGGACGCAAACATCCAGTCACTATTTCCCGGATTGCGAGCATCCGGATACCCCTGGTTTCCTCAATTTCGGTACAGGCATCGGAACATACTAGAAGGCGTTGAGGCATTAGCGATGGTTATTTTTGAGACTTTTAGACAATCCCACGGGAGACGTCGATTTCATTGAAGAGGTTCGTGGTCTTTGCTGCAATGGCTCTGGGGTCGCATCATCCTTGGTCTGTCTACAAGAGCCTTTAACCTGGGAGGCTTGGAAGGGACCATTAACGTACGGAGTACAGGGGTCCAGATGACCAACCTACAAGGCGGGCAGACATTTCAACGTTAATTGCAAATAAAGACAGCGATCACAAACATGTGCCTGTCCCCTTAATGAATGGGATGTGGCTCGGAGATGTGTGATCGACAATCATGCAGGGTCGGCATTGAAGACTTGCCTTAATGTAATTCATGTGGCTGTCGCATGGGCTCGCCGACTCATGGTCCATGCTCCCTGCCTACATCAACGGACATGCCAGATAATTCGCATTCGGAGGGCCAGGCATTCGGGGGGAAGAAGTCTTAGGAGGTTACTGTTTAGTTTTGAGATGCTCGCTTTTGGGACAAAAGTTTAAATGAGGCCATGGAGGGAGGCAAGGGAAACAGAACGGGCGGTTGTTTTCATAGGTGATATGGCGAATAGCTTTAGGGGTGCAGGGCGAAACGAGCACAGCTGTTGGGTCTATTTGCGAAACCGTGCAGCTTAGTTAGGTCTCGAGCGTTGCAGATGCAGCAATGTCTAGAGATGGAAAGCTGCGGACGCAAGTTGGCTTGACCGAGGTGAGTGAACGGCCTGTGATGTGATGTGATGGCAGGTGACGGGTGGTGCGTGCTGAGCCCGTACCCGTGCTGTGGGCGATCAGACGGGTGTCCACTGTCAAGACTCTGAGAGATGTGAAGATGGAGGGTCATTCATGTCATGGGAGCTTGAATTTGGGTATGTAGCCCAGACTACTATGCGAGCATTCATGATTGTTAGGGATTGTGGTTCACCCGACCATAGCGGCTCTACCTCAGCTGACCCGACCAAAGAATGCATGGTCGGAACACCTTCACTTCATGGTCGGGACAGGTCAAGTTTCTGGTCAGCTCAGCTTAGATGCGGGAGCATAGCTGAGTGGTCATGGAAACCGGCTCTCTCTCCTTACACTGACCGGATCTCACTCATGTATGGAGCATACGTCAGGTCAAGTGAGCTTCATGGTTTGGGTCAGATCAGGTCAACTCTCTGGCTAGGTCAAGTCGAGTAAGTGCCTGGGCAATGGCTGGTTATGAGTGGACGATTGGGGATTGAAGTTGTCGTGGATTATCGTGATCATATTATTGTCTATGTTTCGTTCTCTCCTTTCCAGATGCAGCCAGGAATATCCCTCATCTGAGGCACCTGGATTCCTGCATTTTCATTGGTTGGTCTCACCCAGATTATTATGGGTTCAGATTGCTCGTTCTGGTCCGAGCATACCCGCCCAATTCCACTTCCGCACTTCAACAGAAGTTAACCTGACCTAAGGTATAGTGGGGACCTAAAAGTCTTTATACACCCACTAATGGCCTAACCACTCGTATTATCACTTAGAATATTTACTAAAAATTCTAAAACTTATACTTGATTAGTACTATAAGAGTTACGTACTTAAGAAGTTACATGGTAATAAGAGGCTCAATGTTACGCCCGCCGCAACTTGTCACTGTGAGCGCGTAGCCACATAACGCAGAACAAGGGAAAATGATGCGGAGTCATCATTATCGAAGCTTTTGCTTTGTGCCACAGTTGGTTGCCTTGACCTTCTCGTAACACTCAACCGAAGTACGTATCTACTCAGATACAACGCTTTGTACCCACGTACAGCCCGAACGTAAATACGCTTTACATATACATGTTAAAGCGCCGACAGGCACATATGCCCGTATAAACTTGATAAATGCTCGGACTTAAGCATCACATGTGATTACATGTGATTACATGTGACTACATGTAATATTCCTATATTATATATAGACTATACTTTCTCATCATATCATTGAATAATCATCAATACAATCAATTCTCTGATTATCTCAACTCGTACCTCAACTTATTTACCTTTTCCCTTTTTGCCTATCTCTAACCTCTTAGTTAAGCAATGAAATATTCTAGCTGGAGGATCTTATGCCTATATAAGAGCATCTTTTTACCTACTTAGACCTTTCGTTAAGCAAGCAACTTCTCATATAGTAATCTAACTATATACTCTCTTTACATTTATCAATCTCTTTTATATACGCTTAACTACCCCTATATTCATATATTCTTGCTTCTATATAAATATTCACCATTTAATACTCTTGTTTAAGAGTCTTATCACTTACCTCTTAAAGCTATCGTGCCAGATAAAATCATAGTTTATATTATATTAAAAGAACAATTAAGTAATATGGCTACGTTATTATAGTTTTTATTAATATAATAATATATATTTATTAAAATTCTATAAATTTGTAATTAGCTTAATAATTTTCTAATAATTTATTTTAAAAAGTATATAACTTAATTCAGCTTTTATTTATTTAAATTATAGTAGTTTAAAAGGAAATAAGTGTTTAAGAGAAGACGCGTTAGGATGCGTAAATGGGTGGGGTGTATGAAGACTCTTGGGTCCCCACTGTATGCTCCGCATGCAAAGATGTTGTGGTTGGTCCAGGTTCAACTCACGTCAGGTCAACTCATGGTGCCTACGTCAGGTCAGGTCAAGTTTCGATGGGTCGGGCCAGCTAAAGTGAACGTTAGCGAGCAATGGCAGATTGCGATTGGAGGGCTGGAGGCTCAAGTTGACCTGACCTGACGTATGGCCCATACCTCTCCGCACCTGTAAAGATTTCATGGTCGGGTCAGGTCAACTTCATGGTCAGGTCAGGTCAAGTATGTGAGCACTGAGCCATGGTCGGCTCAGCTGTGGTCTCCCCCAAAGTGCAGGGCTCACACAGCTCGCCTCGCACCGATGAGATTAAGCGTATCGATTTGAGTTCCAGGGGTTGTTCATTTCATCAATCAGGCCCGGGCGTCCGAGTGCAATGAGACTTTTGTTGGAATTGAATTGGGAAAACCACTCGTGGGTTGTGAGTGAGCAGATACCATGCTGGCCTAATCACAATTACTTGCACGCCGCCGCACTCACTCGCTCTCTCTTGCATTCGTCTCGAAATTTGACTGCGCATTCTTACTCGAATCACGGCTGTTTTGTCATTTATGAAGCGATGAGGATAATGACTGGCTGAGAGGCGCTGTGAGTGTGAGGAAATCGGGTGGTGAGGTTGCATGAAGGGTTCGGGGGCATCGGGAGGAGGGATGAAGAGGGTGGTCAATGTGAAACGCAGGAACGGTCCCTGGAAATTATGTGTTAAAGTGGCGCTTTGGAATGGTTCGTGGGCACGCGAAGGTTAAGATTGAATGAGATGGGGGGCGGCACGCCGGTTTACGCCACTCAAGAGTGCCGCCGATGAGTGGGATTCACCCAGTCGAGACCCCCCGATCTGAAGGACAAGCACGACAAGCTCTGATGGGAGGGGGGGGGCTCTGGTTAGTGGATGTGACGCTGGTAGGATTGAGTCGTTCAGCGTTGGATTGGAGGGGATGTGGGTGGGATTGATCATTGAAGTGAGATGTTTATTTAATGAAACGATGGAACATTCCAACGGCATACGGCATTACTGAAGTGAAGAATTTGTTCATCACGCTCTCTCTTCATCCGTTCACGAGTGAGCCAAGGATCGTCAACGCCATGTCACCAAGCCAAGAGACGAGCTCGTGTAGAGAATCCTCTACGAACATGTTCATCGACAGGACCAGTGTTTATCCTCAAAACCCATCCCCTCGCATGAAGTCTAGTCACTCTGCAATCTGTAATGAACATCCGTCACTCAGGACCATCGACTGTGTTACAACCCATAACGCGGCAAAATGTAAGAAAAGGGGGGTCCAAGAGGGGCCGCTCACGGCGCGGTAACATCCAATGAAGCGCCGGCCGGGAAGGGTACGGAGTTACTTGGCGTCGCTAGCCCGGGACAGCACCTCAGTAGCTCCCCGGGCCCTGGGCCCCCTTGAAGAGGAGAGGATAGGCATCCCAGTGTCGACTTGCACGTTGCACGAGATATTCGTTGGCTCGGAGGTATTATTCGCTACGGATACTTGGACTGCACTGCACATCTGCAGTGCCTGCGGTGCCTGCATGTTGCCTCCCGCGTCCTGCATGCTGCGGTCGTCCAGGTTCAGGCCCAGCGGTTCAGCAGTTCGCACTCTCTTAGCAAACATCATACAGAAGGAAGCGCGGAGGTCCCCTGGTCTGAACGTCGTCGTTCGGGGACGAAGCTCGGGAGGAAGCCCCGTCATTTGGCTGAGGCGTTGGCCCGTCGTCTGATGCTGAGACAGTTGCTGGAGGTTGAGCACTGAGCAGTGGCACTCGTGGACGGACCCCTGGACGGGGGGACTCGAGGAGGGCTTTAGCTCCTTGCCTGACTGATGTCTGCCTCTTGTCTCTACGTTTGGCATGTTGACTGGTCTTCAATGTTCCCGTCCGTGTCTGGGCCCTGGGGGCGGCGGGCTGGATCATGGATGGAGGGGATGTGTGGTGCCAGACGGACGCCCGATGAGACTCTATCCCGCCCCAAGGTACCGTGGGATGCAGGGTAAACTTGGCCCAAAGGCTTGCTTGCAGGTAAGGTACAGGCAGGTCCGTTCCTTGGTGATCTTCCCGCGGGACGAGTGGCAAGTGCCGGGTTATGTGGTTTTCCCTTGTGGAGATGATGGAGAGTAGTGTAGCTCCGTCGCTTCGTCTGTGATTCATCTTGAATTTGCGTTGGATTCTGTGGTCTCGACTCTTAAATTAGGCCCTTGGATGTTTCTTGTTTTCTCGTTTGTTTCTCCCTCTCGTCGTTTCCTCGGCTTTTGTTGTTCCTCGACTTGACAAACGAGGCCTTCTTTTCATCCATTTTTGAAGTTGAACTTTTGTTCGTGGGGTTCGCCAACTTTTGTTTGTGAATTACCCTTTTCAGCCAGCCAGCCTGTGCTTCCGAATCTCTCCCCACCACGCCCATCATCCCGAGTCACGAAACGAGGAACGGCACTTGGCCTCTGCGACGGCCTGCCTTTGGACGTGTTGATTAGTCCAGAGTTTCTGTTTCCAGATATCATCGGCCGGAAACGCGATCAATCGTCTATTCGTTGCTTGACGACCACCTTGAGCCAGCCTCTGGTCGTCGTTGTATGCCGAGTCCCCGCCGGCATCGTGGAAAGTATATCGGAATTTTGAGAGATCCCATCGGACTCCGCTGCAGTATACCCACACCGCCGAATTCGAACACGACTTGCGAGCGAGCCGGAAACCTTTATGGTATTATTCGAATCGTATACTATCGACCTTGGAACCCATGGAAACCTGAAGGAAAGAAACCTGGCATTATTCATCCGTCGTTTGGTGAGCAGCAAAAAAAGAGTAGGTCCAGGTCCAGGATACAATTAAGTGCACGCACTCGAGGAGCCCATCACCGGTCACAGCGTTCGAAACGAGGAGACCCCCCTCCACTCTTTTCCCGGCGGACGAAGGAAAACCAAAGACAAATTCATGCGAAAAACAGGTCGATAAGCATATCCAAGGAGATCCTATTCGGGAGCAGATCCGAAACATCAGACTGAAGTTGTGAAGCGCGGACGACAGCGACGCTGTAAGAGAGGGGCAAGGGACGAGAGGCGCGGCGGGCTGTCATTGACTGCCTGGTCTGGTTTCTTTTCCTGCGTCTGGCTGCGGTCTGGCGTGTTTGCGAGGTTTGAGTCTGGTCAGTGTTTCCCATTGGGGTTTCTTGAGTCGAGGTCCGGGAGTCCATTTCGGTCGCCGAAGGGATACTTAACATCTTTGTTTCCGGTTCCCTTTGAAGGACTCTTTTGAGAGAAAGAATTCAGGTGTAAGCAAGCAGCTATTGCTTTGCTTCCCCCGTCTCTCGAAACGGTGCAACAAAAAGCAGCAGCAGCAGCAGCATCGACTCGACCACGGACCGTTGCGACAATCAAAATCGACTACGACAAAGTCAGCGAGCCGAGGGTGTTTCGCCAACTCCAAGCGAAAAAAGGGAAGAGTTTGGTCCGCGTCGCATCGCATTTCAAGCCACTTCTTTATGGTGTTGGGTGCACCACGATTGGTGGGGTTGCAATCTCTCGACGAAAAGTCTGAGAGAAAAAGAGCGAGTGGATTTTGGAAGAGACGGGCTACCCCTGGAGGGAAATTGTACGGCTGCACTGTTGGTGCTTGATCGCCGCCGGCTGTCACTTTTGCCTTTCTTAACAGCGGTGCTAAGAAAAGCTGACCTAAGAAAGGGAAGCTTAGGTAAGGAGGGGCAGCACCTTGGAGCACCTCGGAAGCGAGGAATAGAGGGAGAAAGACGGCCAAAAAGCGACAAAAAGAGAGAGAAAGGCGACAAAATGTGGGACGCCTCTTCAGGTGAAAGTCGCGGTGGAGCGGGGGCGGGGCCAACCGCTATAACGGGCCTGCAATTAGAGGGCAGGGTGGGTCCGGGGACCGATGCCCTATCAAGGTCCCGGTCAGGTACCAGCAACGGTAGCGGTGGTGCCGGCGGTGCTGCTATTAACGGCCATGGACAAGGTGGCAGTGGTGGTGCAGGCGCAGTTGGTGCAGGTGTTGGTGGTGCAATTGGCCGTCGGACGAGCAGCCTGAAAACGACGGGCAGCCCTCAAAAGAAGTTGACGCCGCCGCCGCAGCTAGGCGAGAGGAATCTCCTCAGGTCTGGCTCTGTTTCTGTCTCTGCTTCTCTCTCTTCCGTCACTGGCTCTGTCACGCGCGAACGCGAAGGACACCTTGGAGGAGCTCATCCCTACCACCGCCAATCATCCACTTCAACATCCCAGCAGCCACAACCACAACACCAACACCACACGTCAACTTCGACATCATCCTCGACGACAACGCAACAAATCAGGGTACATCTACGACGAGGAGGAAGCGCCGGTCCACACCAGCCCCAGCAGTACCAACCCGTCCAGCCATATCAGTATCAGGTCCCCGGACGAGAACGAGGACCACCACCAGCTCCAACATCCGGAGCTGCATCTCGAAGTCGAGACACCATTGCCAACTACAACAGGCTCTGTCGCGAGACCCAGCACAGCTCCACGAGCACTTTGCACCACCAGAACTACTGGCCCGATAACTTTCGCAACCCCCGCGGCGGACTCGGCATCGAGCACAGCAACAACGCCACCAGATCCAATTCAATAGCGACGAATCCGAGAAACGACAACCAACCACGAACCGGTGGGATCCAGAAATTGGCCCTTGAAGAGAGTGGTGTTGCTGAAGAGTGAGTATTTCCACATGCGTCCCCACAACTACACGATTCCACGATGATCCACCCCAAATACACGATACAAGTGTGACGAGAGCAAAGAGGACAAAGGAAGGAGCAGGAGAGGGCGAAGAAATGGAAGGGATCATCACATCACGGCAGGGAAAGAGCAGTTTGGAGCTTGGACACCGTTCCTGCCTGTTGCGATATTGACTTTTTCCCGCCCTCTCCCCACGCGCCTCCTCAACGAAGGTGCGAAGCTCCAAGCGGCGGCCACGCTCAAGCTCAAACCAAAAATCCCCAAAATCTCCAATAATTTGCAATCGACGCGCCCGCCACGAGCCTTCCACCCGGACGACTGGATGGCTTGACTGCCAGACGAAGCTCCTTCTCAAGGTTTCCTGGCGTCAAAGCCAGTCGTTCGATGGGCTCACCATGGCGGCGGTAACCTCGTCCTCGCGCATGCTCCTCGCCCATCGCGACTTTTCCCGCAACCTCGACCACGTCTCTAACATCTCGGCCTCCTTCACTTGCAACCTCACTGCCCTCCAAGACACTCTGCAAACCACCTTCCAAAACGCTCTTGCTAACATCCCGCGCTCTCACAGCACTCTCGACGATCTCCTTCCCCCACGCAACCTCTACAAGAACCACAGCGATAACTCTGGCATCTGGCGCCCTGCTTCCTCCATCTACTCCGACGGCGACAACTACACCTCCCCGATCTCGCCAAACTTCGCAAACGTGGCTGCCCGAAACACCTACACCTCCGCCGTGGCGGACATCTCACCTCCGAGCTCTCCTGACATGGAGGCTCACAGGGATGGGTAAGTCAAGTCCAGTCATTCCTACCCAAACGCAGCGTCAGACACAGGAACACAAAACGTTTGGGTTTGTCTGAGAAGTCTTCTTCTCTCTCTCTCTCTCAAACCCCACGTGGAATGTCTTGTCTCGGCTCGCTTTTTGGATAGTGAAGCACTTGCAAGTCGGCCACTAACCAATGTGTCTCTACTTCAGAACCCCCACGCAGGGCCGTGGCAATGTCTCGCCCATGGACGAGAGCCCGGACATGTCGCAGCTCGATATCAACGGCGCCCACCACCAGGCTCAGCAAAAGACAAATATCCCCATGATGCGCCGCGAACGTCGCAAGAATCAAGAAGCAGCCGCCGCTCATACGCTCCGAGAGACCAAATCCCAGCAACGCTTGCGGATCCAGCGCGAGACCAAGTGGGATGACATGACGGGCGAACCCACGTCCCGGACCACGGGCCGTGCGGGTCAAGTCAGGCCACAAGAGTATGCCCAGGAGTTTGGTGCAAATTCGCAGTTCGGCAAGTCCCCGGCCGCAATGAGAGCCATGCAGAACGCACCACAGGCGCAGCAAACCTTTGGTGATCGTCTGCGAAGATTGAGGCCCGTCAGCGGAAGCCCAAAGCAACAGCAACAGCAACAGCAACAGCAACAGCAACAGCAACAGCAACAGCAGCCGCCGCAGTCGCCGCCCCAAGCATCAACGGCACCCGATGTCATTGACGAGCGCCCACCATGGCGAGGTGCAAGCGGACGAGCGCCCATCGTGAGCCCAGTCCGTGACACAAAGCCTGCAGCACCTCTCAACATCCCTCCCAAGAGCACCAGACGCGCCGCCGTTGGGCCTCGGCTGCCCATCGCAGGTGTCAATTCACCACTGTCCCCTGTCAGCCCCTCGGGATCTGAAACGTCACCACGGTCGAGGACGCCCACCATCAGAACTGTCTTCAACGCTCCCCGCCAGCTGACTACTGCTTCTAACGCTTCCTCTCCTACCGCCGCTCGCACCCCTCCACCCGCACAGTCGGCATATCCCAGTCCTCCCAACTCGGGCGCTGGAGTCCAATCGCCCGTCCATGCGACGCCCGAAGCCACTAATGACGCCAATGTCACGAAGAGACAGCCCCCATCCCTGACGGGCCTGCCCGCTGCCCCTAATGCACATCTCGGCCTCGACAGGGCTTTACGAAGAAAGCCTCCTCCTACCAACTCGCATGCGCTTCACGCTCCGCAGCCCTCCTATTCCTCAAGCGTCTACTCAGAACAGACTGTTCACGCACCCGCCAGCACTCACGAACGATCGCCGCCTCGCGCTCCTGCAGCAGCCCAACGCGAAGCTGCCGCTGCAGCCAAGCAAACTGACCCCTGGGCCCAGCCTCCCTCGAGATTCAGCGTTACTACCTACGCGACTTCAGCCGATCCCGATACGCCTCGCGAATCTGCAGAGACGGATCGGCCTCCGGTACCATCCCTCCCGACGCCACCGCAACAGCAAAAGGACGGTGTAATGAACCGCAGACGACCACCTGTACTCAAGTCCACGAGCCCTTCCATCAACCCAGACCAGCCCATTGTCATCTCCATGTCGTCCCCCTACATGTCGGGCGCCTTTACTGAAGACACGTCGCCGCCGCCTGCCCGAACCCAGCTGCCCAGCCAGAAGCACCCGCTGCCTAGAACGAGCTCTGCCAGCCTGTACAGCAACTCGAGCCGCCCGGAGTCGGTTTGGTCTACTAGCAAAGCCTTGCCTCCGCCGCCGACTGAGCTCTCCATGGTCAACGATCGCGTGGGCTACCTCAACGCCCGGTTGGAGTCGTTGGGCAATCGCCGCATCAACATCAACCAGGCCATCAAGCAAATGACGGAGCTTATGCCGACCGACAGTATCTTGGCCAGCGAGGCCGTCCTTAGGAAACGCGAGGCCGAGAAGCGCAAGGTGGAGGCACTCAAAGTTGAGCTTGCTGAAGTCCAGCGAGAGGAGTACGAGATTGGCCTCAAGTTGCACAGAGCATACAAGAGGATGGATCGCAACGCAGAGTACGAGCCGACGACGCTCTGGGTGCGGAGAGTTACTGGCTAGCCAATCCTAGCCCGTCACGGTGAGAGGAAGAGTGCTTGTATGATATTTCCGGGCCCTGTTCATACCGGCAGTTCGGACGGCCGCGTTTTGGGTTTTTTTTTTTTTTGTTTTTTTTTTTGGTGCGATTTGGGTCGCGGACACTGGCGGAAGCGTTTCAGAGGAGTTTGCGCCGTTGAAAAAAAAAGCTGGACAGCACAGTTTATTGCGAGCACGGAGTTTTATGGCCCTGACTTGCGCTTTTTCCTGTTTGTATTACCCTCTTTTGGGAATCAGGTTGCGAATCGGGCATGGTTTAATGGGATGGATCGGGCGTCTCTTGGGAGATGAAGTTTTGTTTCTATTCTTTTTGTTTTTGATACCTATTTTTCTCTGAGAACGGTAGAACAGAATTCTAGAAAACCTTTTCTTCTCAATCAACCTCTTCAACTCAAGTACTACTATCCCAACCAGAGTTTGTCTCGTCTGTCTCTCACGTGAGGCCGTTTGCTTGGTGACCCGGTGTTTTGAAACAGTGACATGTCGGGATGGAGAGTATTGGCGCATAAACGTGTGGAGGGATACGGAGATAGTATATGTGCCTTTTTTTTGAGGGCTAGAGATCCTATTGAAGCCGATGGAATCTCTGAGGCTTTACTGGGAGTTATCAGTCTAAAGTTGAGGGGTTTCCGAGGAGGGGTGTATGGTGCGATAATGACAACCTTTCGGTAAGGACTCTACGAGCCTTTTGAGATGACTGCTCGGCAACATAGAGGGCGTTTTTCCAGCCTTTGTCGCTCTCATAGGCTTCCTGTTATTATGTCGTCGGGGCAGTATGCAGAATGGGTGTTGATGTACTAGATTCGATGGGATATCTTGTAGTTTTCGCCATGGATGTCGACCTACATTTGCTGCAACCAAAGCATCAAATCAATACAAGGTGTTCTTCCAGCGGCTTTGCGATGCAACGACCGGGATGGAGTTAAAAGCATTATTCGTTAGTAGTTTTCAAGGCATAGTTGCTGGCAAGTTGACAATGCCAATCATTGTTTCCTGGACGAGGACTTTGGTTTCTGAACATGAAACTGGGACACAATACCTGCACCTTGGGCCTGGCGGTCGGACTGTTGGTAGACAGGCAGCGTAATCTATCTACAACAGTTAAAGTCGACACACTATTCGCCGCAGCCACTGAGCCACGGATTGGTTCTTTGTTCCGCGTGATTTATCCCAGATCCGCCTCGTCTACTCAGATCAGAATACCCCTAGGCCAGTAGCCAGCCGTCACTTTCGAAATCGAAATACTTGAATAGGCTATCTTCTGCCATCACGTGGAAGGTGATATGGGTTGGGCAAACGGCCCTTCCACAGAGCTCCTTCCACCTCGGAGGAGCTTATGACGACTGCTTCCTCCTTGCAGACCCTATAGACGTAGCATAATACACAAAACCATATTTCGTCCCTGGTAAAACGCTGCCCTGCAGACGAGTATCCCATCGGTTCTGGAGAACGACATGTACATGGGGACGTAGTACCTATTCCATCAACTGCTAGATGGCGTCACTACATCCGTCTCCAGTCTTTCTTCAAGCTTGATCTATTTCGAGATTTTTTATAAGCGGATGTAAGGGAAATAGAGTAAAATTGGAGAAAGACTGGAGACGGATGTAGTGACGCCGGGATAGAAAGGAGTAATAATTATTCCAAGCTATTCCGTATCAAAGACTTGATCAATACGACACCTCTTCAAAGCAGTACAAATATACTCAGCGTTGGAGTGTATCGGAAATAAAATTGACGCTACGTGTATCTAGCAGACGAGAGAAAACATTTCCAAGCAGGAGTCCTCTTGTGTTTGTGGGGGCCGAAGATGGCCTGCACACCGAGATTTATGTCAATTGGTCAAATTTGCCTCGTTGTTGCTCCCATTATGTTTCAAAACTCTCCAAGAATGTCATTGGCAGACGTCTTTGTGGGAACTCGAGTCCTGGTTGCGCCTTGAGGTTAAATAAGACCTCGTCAAGCGTATCCAGAATATCCTCTCTGCAACCCATAGATCGGAGCTCTTTTCGTACAGCAATCGGCGTTTGATGAGAATCTTGATCGCTCAAAAGCCATGAGCTACTCAAATAGGTGACGTCAAGACTGGACGCGAAATGAACCAGAGCTCCAGCTTGGAAATTTGCACCAAGGATGAGTGAGCACTGCAAAAGCCATGGGAGACCATTGGCATCAAAACATTCTTCTAAGATATGTCGGAAGTGCCGGAATTGTTGTGCGAACTGACTTGTCGATGTCATACAATCTCCATCTAAAGCAGTGGGCTTAGAGGCTATTGATGTGTGCAGAAGGTCGGCATACAAAACCACGGGTATCGTCTTGGGTGTCCTCGGCAGCGGCACAGACCGAACCGAGACGGTGCTTTTCAGGATGAGATCTACGATCTGCAAAAGTCTCATCTGCACCTGCCATGTAAGAAGCGTCGAGCTCGACACTGCGCCAACCATAGGGAAGCCTCGGGCTGTGTCCTTTTTGTCAAGATGCGACAAGGCCCCTGTGATTTCTCGTAGAGACAAAATCAAGTCTGTCATTGGAAACCTCGAGTCACGTGGATGCTTGAGAAAACTATCCATCGATTCCAACGAATTTCGAAAGTATTCTAGGACAGTCGTCTCGCCTAATGTGACTGTACCTTGATGCAAATCTGATGCGTTGAGTAGATCGCGACAGTACAGCGAAACAAACTTCCGTGTTGTCGTCGCCAAAAGGAAAATACTCTTGCTGCTGAAATCGACTCCGGGACGGCTTAAACTGTATATAGTTTTCGATGTTGCCTGCAGCGTGAGGTCCCGTGTCAACGACAAGGGTTTCCAATTTTTGTTCCAATGAACGCACGAAACCATGGGCTTTGGTAGGTCGAAGGCTAGCACCTTCGGTCATGAGGGTTCCGATGGAATAGAGCCGGCACCAGTCGGACTCTCTGAAAGCTGCAACGTGTATCGGGGCGAAGTCGGTAAAAACGGGCCCAGAAGAAAGAGCATTCAGAGCTACCCCGCGACTCGCCTTAGCCAAGAATGCGATGCCTTCAAGGTCGGCATGTAGGACGCAGAAGTGAGCCAGCTCCATTCTTGAACAAAACCCAACCAAGCCCTCTGCGGAAGCCCCATGCTCGAGCAGCGTCGATGCGAGGTGCCAGTGTCTCAATAAGACGGCCCGGTGAAGTGCTGAGCATCCAGAAGCATCGACGCCGTTTGCCGACGCACCGTCAGTCAGAAGCCAAACTGCTAGTCTGAATCTTTCTTCGGATATGGCTTGCAATGTAAGGTTGATCTCATCACCCCTGTATACCGGGCGCAAGAACTTCCTCACGTGCCGTGTTGTCGCCGACAACACGGCAGTCGGCCGCGTCTCAACGGCCATGTCGAAGTGTCCCATGAGACAAGCACGACGGAAGATTTTGAATGCGCATCTCGTCCTCCATGGTATCCGCATTGAGCAGCCGTTCTTGGAGATTAACAGCGATAAGTGGATTGAGCTCCTGAGTGTCCATCAACATCTTGAGGATTGAGTAAACTTTCAAACTGCCCAGAGCTCTGAGGTCTACCTGTCGCTTCTTGATACACGAAGAACCATTTCTTAGTAGTATCTCGTGTGGAATTTAGCTTTGAAGTGTATAGAGAAGTGCTTGAGATGCTGATGTTGAAGAGGCTGACAAGTCGTGTCCGGGATGTTTTGGCAGAGGTCTGTAAGTTTGAGATACATCTAGTGTGACTGGGAAGCCCCTTACGCCAGCTGTCTGTGTCATCGTCGCATCCAATTCGAATACTCCAGGAGATCCAGATACTTCTGGTCGTTCAAGCACTTCCAGCGGTTCAAATACTTCTGGTAATTCAAAAGAGCCTGCCTGGGACTCAAAGCGGGATATACTCGGGTTCGAGTCATTGCTGTATAGACTAAAGATTTCGCCAATTTCTGGATTGTCTTGGCTGCTGATGGCTGGCTCGCTATGGGACTTTATCCATCTGGTAAACGGCAAGGTTCTCAAGGGCCGTGAGATACCGAGTAGACGTTCGGCCATATGTCGTTCGATAAAAGGAGGGTCATTTTCCAAAGGAGTTCGAAGTGCCAAAATTACACTCTGTCTGAATATCCGACGAAGCGCCAGTATACGCATTGACTGTGATCGAAAAGACGATGCGTGTTGACCCAGGTTGATAATACGATCAAACATTGGGATGTGGGAGTTCCGTATAGACCAAAACACACCTTCAAGATTGGCTGACTCTTTTGGAAATCTTGTATTGGCCCAGGCGGCTGCCACGAAGGGATGATCACGAAGATCTAATAGGTCGATATCATCGACCAGATGGGACCACAGGCGTTGAACAGATGGCATGATCGAAACCCGTGTGTGTAGTAACCAAAACTTTCTTGCATAATGCATATGCGAGAAATAGATGGCCAGGGATGATGATGCCAACATCGTTGGAGTTTTGCGCAAGAACACGTCCAATCTGGCGGCTGCGTCCTACCTTTGACTTGAAAAGGTTTCCTGCCAAGCGTATCCCGTCGAGTGCTGTTGGGCTACAGATACATTGCTCCACTCTTTTACCCACTCTTAACCCCTCACATCAGGAATACATGACAGTACGTCATTTACCCCTAGGAATCCCTGGCTTCCCTTCACCACCAAAATCGCCTATCTACACATGCCAATTCGTCACGATGGCCTCGAGCGACGATAGTGACTCTGAAGGGTCTGTGCATTCCTGTATCAACGTTGCGATACTTCCTGAAGACCTCGCAAGCGCCTGTACAGCTGACTGTACGCCCGAGAAGTGTGATAGCGCGACTGTACGCCCACATGAACCACCTTCGCTGGAACGAGGCATACTTGTTAATAGCTTCTTTCTCCAGCTCTGGGGCGAGCCGGAATGGGCTCGGGCCAACTCTCAGTACGAATGGCGAAGGACCCTTTCCACCCAGCTAATTCAGCGCTTTGGGCCATTAGTTCATGGGAGGCAACGGGCCCGGCCCCAGAGGGCCACTGATACAAGAGAGAATTCCATTCCATGGCAACAACATGCGAGGGTATCACGGAAGCCCTCTGCTTGCTTGTCTTGTAACAACAAACGAATAGCATTAGGCGAAGTCACACGGAACTTGCGAAGAGATAGGAGAAAGAAGACGAGGTCAGGATGCAAGCAGTGTGGGGTTGCGATTTGTAACTCTGATGATTCCTGGTACCTCTATCACACTCAAAATATATAGGCAACCGAAGTACCTTTCAAATAGGGCCATTGATTGGTCGAGAAAACTCTTGGCTGCCCCTGAGTGGTCAGGATCCCTTCTGTGAATGTATCTGTAGCCCAACAGCACTCGATGGGATAGAGCGCGGTGAGTCGTGAAATGTTTGACGTATCCCATCGAGTGCTGATGGACAGCACTTTCGCCAAGGGCGGGGTAGAGCCAATAAGGGCGGGGTAGAGCCAATAAGGGCTTGCAAATCTATTAAGTTAACCAATAGGGCTGCAGAACCTCTATTTCCTTCAAATTTTGGGTGTGCCAGAGGTACCAGCAATCTTTGCTAATACATAACGGTACATTACAATCTAAGCAGCCCTTTCGAGTTGTCTGCCGTCGTTGCCGAGCGATGGCATTCCCAGATATCTCCTTTAAAGCCTTCCTATTACCACAATAGGTACAAGGTGAAGATACCTTTCTTGATCCCTTCCTATGCTGTTCCCATGGAATAGAGGTATTCCTTTTGTCTGTAGCCCGTCTAGCCCTAGGGCCCTCCCTAGACAACGGTGCTGTATTCGTCCACTGGGCCCACTGCTCTACGAGGCTCTGCGGAACGTATTGGAGGAACAGTTCAAGCGGGCTTGCCGGCAGCCCCCGTATCTCTTGGGCCCGGGCCGGCACGTTGAAGGGTCGGAAGGAGCCCAGAGGACCATGCTGAGTTGCCGGAGGTTCGTGGGGCCGGACTGTAGCTGCGTCACAGCGCTCGGGCGTACAGTCTGTATTACAGGCAGCAGTAAGGTCTTCTGGGTGGACCTCAACTACTATACAGCTGCGTGTAGAAGCAATAGAAGCATTAGATGCAATAGAGGTATCAGAATCACCAGAAGACATCACAGTATCAATCAAAATGGTAATAATAGTGATAATAATAGGCAAAAGAGCATAGGGATGAGTGACGTATCGTCAAGTACCCCTTTAAATGCGGGGTAATAGTGGATACATAGTGGGTATTTCGTGGTCTTGGCGAAAGTGCTGTCCATCAGCACCCGATGGGATACAATTACACGGATCATAAATAGTATCAACCGAAAGCGAAACTCGGCCTGCCAATGACGACGTGGGTGGGGCATAAGGACTTTTAGGTTTCACATCTTCGGGGTATTAAGATGAACCACCATATAGACTCTTGAAACCCGGTCCCTGGCAACTGAATTGTGGAACTAGCCTTGTTGCTTCAGCATTAAGGTTGGCCGAGAGTCCGACTACGTTGCCGATAAGAAATCTGACACATGAGCCAGGAATAGACTTTGGGCAAATGCCAGCACGTGGACAAGTTTTACGCCCTTTCACGATTTCGCGCGTGTTTGCAGTATATGAGAATCGCCGACGAGCAACTGCGGGAGCCGCCTGGGCGAAAAGCTTGCGGACATACGGACAGGGAATTGACCCGACTGTCAACTAAACACCTGAACGAGAACCCAGAAGCCGCGGCCTTATCACGGCCCTGCCGCCGTTACTCTCAAATGAGTTGGATGAGCAGTGCCTCGAGCTAGACCATTCTTGACATGGAAGTTATATCGGCATCATACGAGGCAAACCTAGTTGAGTTGATGTGCAAAGATCGACCGACGTGCATTGCTTCTTAAGGCTGAACATGCACGGAAGTTACAACGTTAGCGCCTCAAGTGTTCTAGAAGATATATGCATAACGCCACTATGGCATTTCTCTGGCCTAATAAAAGGTTCGTTAACATCGGGCTCGGTTTATTTCCGTCCGTTTATTCCTACAACTGGGAAACTACATGTACCATCTTGGGAATATCTCAACTCGCGCAGCTCACAAGTCACAGCCCAGCACGCCCCGGCAGAGTTTAATCGCTAGTTCCTTGGCCTCTTCCTCAGTAGCGAGGAACTGACCCTCTCCCTTATCCCAAGTGAGTTCGGTTATCGTGGCATGGCGTTCATCGGTAGGTGCCGTTGCATCGCCCCCATCTGGAGCCGCCAAGACCAACTTCATGCGAAACTGTTCGTCCCCAGTCCAGCTCCTGTGTAGGTGCACTACGAAGTCGCCGCGGGCGTCCGGCTCATCCGCGCGGCACATCCAGCGGTCCTCCATTTGCGATGGCTTGAAGCCTTTGAGGAGCTTCTCGGCGTCGTTGTGAGAGACGCTGAGGTTCCAGGTGGTGGTGGCGGGGTTCCTCATGGTTATTGATGTTGTGATGAGTGATTGAATGGGTTTGAGGTTGATAGCGGGCCTTGTGACGAGTCTGAGAAGAGGAGACGTGGGGCTTCTTATACGGCTAGAAGGTGGGATGTGTGAGATTCGAGATGACGAGAAGAATAAGGGTATTGCTCGATTTTGACGACTTGGGACGATGGAAGAGGGCTGAGGTGGGCTTTGGAGACCTCGGAATAGACCCATCTACACATGAGTCTTGATATACTTTTCGCTTACGCCCAAAGTAGCTAGCCCTGAGCATTGGTAACTCTGGCGGCATTATTTTCCTGTTATGGATTACAAGGCAGTCGGAAGTTTTGCGGCCGGACAGGATGCTTGTGCGGCCTCTGCGGGATCGGAATCGGGGGCTGAAATATAAAATACCGCTAGGGCCATCACATCAGGGGTGGTCAGGAGTATATTAAACAACACACGGGATCTGGTATGGGCCCAGGCTTACAACCTCGGGCCATCATCTCATCCACGCAGTATTGGACATCGTGCTGAGAGATATTTGTTTTCTCACCCATGCCATAAGGCCGTCCTTTCAGCTGCGAGTGATCCATATCGTCCAATAGCCGTCGACCTCATCCTGGCCATGATGGAAATCGTATGATGTGAGAGACTGGGATAGCCATTCTCGGGTAGCCCTTCAAGGCTGTCTTTAGGTGCCAAGAAAAACTGCGACCGCCAAGAGCTGTCCGTATAGCTAAATACGAGACATGTCTCCGCATAGTTGTGATAAAGTTTTTGGGGGTTGGAAAGAATGCTAACGGCGTTGAAGCCATGTCAATAACGCAAGAGGTGATCCATAGCTGAGTGGAGGTGCAATAAATTGTGTATGTTTAATTGGCAATCTTTTGCGGCTGTGACTATAGCTTATGTCTGATGACAACTCGTCTCGTCTTGACAGAGCCAAGCTGGAGTAGAGGCTTAGACAAAAAAACTTGAACGGAATTGTCGTGCCGGCAGTTCGTCTCGGTCCAACCTCCACGAAACATCTCTCCAGCTTGGCACGGGCTGTTAGTGCCATGCTAAGGAGGGGCCCCAGTCCCCGCGGTTTGCCGCTGCTCGCTGGGGTGGATTAGCTATACGCTAATCAAACCCTTAACAACGCACATTTTCCCCTCGAATCGAGCCGACGATTATTCAACCTAACGAGCCGCCGTCCACTCGAATTCGCCTTCCGCAGGCTAGACGAAGTCTTCCTGGTAGGGCAGGGAGCAGAGGTTCCATCTAGCCTCCCGAAGGAGACGGGCGACTTTCTTTCCCGGCGCAAGTGGCGCTTCCGGGCCCAAATTGAACATCACCGACCGACTTTTCGACTTCGCTCTCTCAGCACCTTTGCCCCTTAAACGATCGAAGACTCCCTCGAAGAGACGAAACGACCATTGGGTAGCGATGTATAGCCGCGGCTATATACAGCTATGCTCGTTACAGAACCTAACAGCAAGCCCTACAACCTAGTCTTACGAGGTTTTGCCCCTTGTAGTTTCCCTTGTGGCGGTATTACCTATTACGATATACTCCGGACGGTTACTGGAACGTTGTGTAAACCAGAAGCCTGCGGGCTCTGGGTCGAAGGATAGGAGATACTGGCGGAATTGCGTTCTAGGGACGACCATAGCACTGTCTCGGGCAAGCCAGCGGCACCCAGAGACAGGTTAAACACATAGTTACCTTTGGGCACGATTTGGAGGACGAGCTGGACTGTATCTAGTGATAGCTATAGGCCTACGGCCCTCCACGCCATATACCCTTCGGGAGGTCTGCCGCAAGGGCGGCTGCGCCCTTGCCGCTACGGCGTTAAAATACAACAACAACAACAACAACAACAGTTCGTCTCGGTCTCGGCATGCCCGCCATGCCCCATCTTGACTTGACGATGTTCGGCGACTAGAAGCCTGTCACTGAGATATCAGGCACAATAATCTCTCAAGACAGCACCACTAAGAATCATAAGCAATAGGGTAAGTATAAAGATAGGATGTCTTCTCATCGACTCACTTACATCTCATATCATCACAATCATCACACTCTTTATCAGCTCAACTACGAGCCTTACCTCTATCTCTCATTGACTTTGGCTAGTTTCCAAGCCTAGTCTTACACTCTTTTTCCTTCTTCACCAATTTGTCTGACCGTTTATACGAATCGTCATCAACATGATATCTCTCAACAACCTTTTTGTTGTGCTTCTCCTCCAACTATGGACTGCCGTCTGCAATTCCCAGTTCAGCGTGTGGCGCGCCGACACCAGAACTCCCACCGAGATGCGCGCCGCCGGCCTCTTCGCCCCTAGAGGAGCCAGCCAGATCCTTCAGATCGTCCCCAACGTCAGCATGTACAACCACGCCGTCGGAGCGGACAACGGTGCCAGCCGCGACAACGATGGCTACGTCTCCACCACCGCCAGCGAGACCACCGCCATCGGCTTCCTCAACAACATGTTCAGAGGCAACGGCTACGTCTACGAGATTGCGGCCGCGGCCAACTTCATCCAGGTCTCCGGCACCCTCGGCGAGTTCAGCCCGTACCCCAACGAGCAAGAGTACGCGGCGCTCGGCGGCTTCAGCTGGGACCAGGTCATCCGCTGGAGACATTACACCAACGGCGTTGAGGACGGCTCACTGGAGGATAACAGAGAGTATGAGGGCGGAATCTACAATGGCCTGAGACCCACCAACACCATGCCTAGTCTTGCTGGCTTCCCCGCCGGTCACCGTGCCTGGACCTTGTCTCCCTGGAACACGTTTGCTCAGGGTGGCGCCGGCTGCGGTGGTGGTAACGCTGCTCGCACTCTCTTCGTTCGCCAGGGTACCTGCAGCCCTAAGGAGGATGCCGACACTGTTGCCAAGAGGTTCATTGATGAGAATTGCTGGGCCAAGTCTGACTGCGGTTAAATATCGAGGATCGGCTATGCCGGTTGAGCATTCGGTCTTGAAGGGATTATCTGACAGAATCTAGCCATGCCTCTCAAGGCAGGAATGGTAGATTGTGAACGAGGAATACCCAATCCGGGTCGAGGCCATCGGGGGATTGGATAGGAGATGAAGGGTGGAGAGTAGAGGGATAGTCTAGGGGAGGTTGCTCTGTCTTTACCATTGCTGATATTGTTTAGGTGTGATTTCTCTTTCACTAGGTGTCTCTGTCGTAGGGTATATATGGCGTTAATTGCTGCCCGTAATTAACGGCGGCGTTTTTGCGACAGTCTCTTTATCAGAAGATAGTAAAGAAATACATTTATAAGAAAATCCTGGGTTTCTTTCGTGTGAACTGTTCAAGACTTCCATTGAAACTGGGATGCCAGACCATCACATATAGATCCAATCTACTCAAATAAGCACAGGAAATCAGCTACGTATGCCTAACCGGAAACAGACCCCTTGGGAGACCACTTTAGGTTCGAGGCTTTGTAATGTGCAGTAAAGGGTATTCGTGGCTTCGGAATCGCCCATAAGCTTTGCGACAGACACCGGGCTGACTTATAGCCAAAAGCTCGGCAATCGTGGCCTTACCCAATGGACCTCTTGGGTCGTACAGGTAGGAACAAACGGCTTTGGTATGGAATCATGCTCAAGCTTCGAATATCTATGACTGTAGAGAGTTCAGTGCGAGTCAGCCGAGTGTTGGAAAGGTCTGCAGATTCGAAGTTCCAGTCGGTACTAAGCCAGGCCGTCAACAGGCTGCTCAATGAACGGCAGGATGCACTGGTCGAGATCGTAAGACGTACAGATACTAGTTAGAATTTAGAGACCTCATGACATCCACTAATGAAGTGTAGCCACTCAGAGCATTCAGACTCTTCAACTCTTGGTCGTATTACAATGTGAAAGACCAGGCCCCCCTTGGTTGAGGCTCACGATAGCCTCCTACAAGCAAGTCTTCTATCAATGACATATGTCTCAGATCGAGGAAAATATGTAATAATAATAATCATCTGAGCTCCGAATATCTGAGGATTGGAACAAACATGAGGAATACAGGCGTTTCACTCGTCTACATAGGCATCGTAGAGCTGACCTCGGAAGGGTGGCTGGCGGCGGGTATCGGACCTTGGAAGCGGAGGTATCCCGGTGGTCCCCGTGATCCTGAAATTGTGGGACCCCGGGTGAGGGGCGGAGCCGTGAGCGCTGGTCCGAAACAAGGGTCGAGGCATTGGCCGGCGGACAGTGTTGGTTGGAACTAGATACGATACAAGACGCTCCATAAGGTAGGTAAGTACCTGAATTGCACTAGTGGATGAAGGATTGCTTATCATGCTCGCGAGGAGTCAGCCGATAAGCACCCAGTGGAGCATTGCATATTGTTTGCTGTATGTTGCAGGGCTGATTGTACATGTTGCATTCACGCTGATTCGGTTGGTTTGCGCAGGTGTTGGTGTATTGGTGAGTCCCCGTTGTGCAGGGTAAAATAGCTCCCACACCCACTCTCCAACGAGGGATTCTGACTGCCCAGCCCAGGCCTATGAGAAAAGGTAAGTTGGTACCACCGGAAGGTGAGGTGAGGTCGGGGAGATCCACACCTCCATCCCCAACAAGGGGACCTTGACGGCCAAGGTCGGGACTCCGCGTGTGCATGCGGCACAGCGGTTGGATGTTTACACCTGCAACTGCGACTGCAACTGCAATTGCAACGGAGTTTTGCCCATCAAAAGGAAGAGAAAGAGTCATTGGCCGATGGGATGTTTCCGACTCGGGGGGAAGGATCACTTGGGCAGAGACAAGTGCAAATGCCATCAACTAAGAAGGTACCTTGATGGATCCCTCTCCTTGGCTCCTTCTCGGAACGCGTGGGTGTACCAATTCGGAAAGACATGTCACGCTCACCTTCGCAGGGGCACCTGCCGTCCACGATGGATGCCATAAGACCAGCCGATGGCCCTCTTTCCATCTCTTGTGTTTTCCAATTCCGCCCTTTTCTCTCTTCTTCCGATTCCGTTATTCTTCTCCATCTGCATTGATCGCTGCTGTGCTGTGTTCAGATATCCAGACAACAATTCCATTGACCCGAGGACTGTCCCCGCGTCTAACCCACCCGAGTTCCGACCCCAGATTTCGACTCCAAGTTCCCACACCTCGTAACCCCACGATTTCATGATGGACGAAGAGCAATCCCCCTTGATACGGATCCCCGCCGAAATCCGCATCATGATTTACGAATACCTCCTCGATGACGCCGGCGAAAGAAGACTTGCCGTCCGCAACAAGGCAATGCACCAGCTGCATACCGGCGCCCTGAGCACCTACCGCCGTACCTCGTACCGCATTATAGAGAGGTCGTTTCACAGGCAATGCTTCGAGACGACATACGCACACCACCACCCGGCCAGCACCAAGTCCATAATGCACCCGGAAATCATGGCCGTCAACCGCCGCATCCACCGCGAGACGAGCCACCTCCTCTACGGCCGCCCTCACGGCTTCGATTTTGGTAGCGATGTTGAGGCCGTGGTGCCCTTCCTCAAAGACCTGACGCCATCCTCCCGCTCTGCGATCCAGGAACTCACGATCCGCAAGGACGGACCTGTGATGCATTGCAATAATGAGAGCGACCGACTCGACTGGGCGACAATGTGCGCCTACCTCCGCCGGCTGGATAAGGTGATACCAAGGCTGCGCATCGTTGTCGAGGGCGGACGACCGACGGCAGCGTGGGAGGGGCCGCAGGCGCTGAGCGTCTCGGACCTGAGGCTGTTGGCGCTCATTAAGCACGATAGCATGGAGTGGGTCGCCGAGTTGGCCAAGGTCGAGGGGATTGAGAAGCTGGAGATTGTGCCGAGGATACGGCATCTCCCCGCGCCCGGAACGACTGCGACGCTGCTGTTTGCTGCGTTTTCCGCGTCGATTGATACGGCGCTTGTTGAATATTTGCAGACGGACTGCGGACTTCCTGCCACGGCTGCGTCTCTTACAGCTTGAGACTGTTGGGCCTTCCACTCGGGAAATCGGGCGAGTACCTATGGACACGAGCCCATTGATTGCGGGGATGGTGCAAAAATGGAGAGAATGCGGAGTACTATCTGGATTTGGATGGCGTTTTGTTGGAGTAAGGGGTTCATGAATATATCCTGCATGATGCAGCAATGGCACATGGTTACGGAGTAAGCACACGGCATGGTATTATCTGGGTATGTGAAGATACAGATTTGCAAAGGTGCATCCTGAATTTACGGGTACCATGCACTAGCAAGCTACGTAATGAGAGAAACTGAAACGAATAGACGAATTGACACATGAAATGTGAGAGGAACTTTTGTCCGTCGGTGATGTTACCCGAGCCATATCAGCAGACTGAGCTAACTGTGCCTGTATTGATTGTCAAGCTGTCAACTTGGTTGGTTTCTGTTGAGAGGCGGAAAATGAAGTGCATCCACAGGCAGATGCAGCCAAGGCGGGGGGGCGCTGGCCGGAACTTGGCCCCGTGCCGTTGGTACTGGACCACCGACCGGAATAGAATGTTTGCTACCTACCAATATTTGCAGCCTAGCATCCTGCCCAGTCTCATCTCTGAAGTGAGAATTCAGAGTTGACGCGAATGTGGTAAGAGACTCAATACCCCAATGAGAAGAGAACATTATCATTCGCTTGAAACGGGCATGTCTACCGTACTGGAAGAGACCTTCCTCCTACCTTACCGACCCCATTTATATTGTGGCGCTAGAACAAGGTAGAGAGACACAAACATGCGGCTGGTGAGAAGATCAGGCGTGAAAGATGCATATAGCAGGTGGGTCTAGCACGTGTTCCCGTGTTATCTTATCGCTTTCTTCGGCTGCCTTACATAAGAACATCTTACATAATCACGAATCTAGGCAGCCCGATTCTCCGAGCTCCCACTGGCGGGCATGTCACAAGCAATGGAAAGAGAAGGTAACAGTCTCCACTCTCTCGTCCACGCCAGCCAGTGTCTGGCCTTCACTCCACTGCTCCAGCGCCATTCTCCAGCCACGGCCCAGTCCACCGAGCTCGCATCGCACAGCAGCACTGCCCGGTCGGTCCTTAGCACTCGCCTCGAGCCAGCTACTGCTAACCTGACAGGACTCCATCGTCAGCCTTCCAACGAATCCCCCCGGACCTCACCTCGTAACCCTTTTCGCAGCCGCGCGCGCCGACGACACACCTCCGATATCTGCGTCCCCATCCATCGCGCAATTGTTCCAACTGCAATCGATCTCCTCCGACGCTGTCGTTTGTCCTCTCCATCAATGAGCCGCAACTGAGCATCATACGTCGCCTCGATCGATAACTACCCCGCCGGTTCGACTTCGATATGTCTGCGACTCCCGTGCCGCCGGAAGACCAGGCACGCCTCTTGGAGGATGCCTTGGTCGCGGTGCGCCAGCAGACGGCCCTCATGCGCAAATGCCTCGACACGCCGAGCAAGCTCATGGATGCCCTTAAGTGCTGGTACGTCATCCCCGTTTCCCGGATTCCCGGGAGCTCCTAGGCAGCTTCGCTCGATATCCCGATAAGCTTCAATGGTCGAGACTGACAGTCCAATGCACCTCGTCCAGCTCTACCCTAGTTTCTGAGCTGCGCACGAGCAGCCTGGGCCCGAAGCAGTACTACGAGCTGTACATGGCCGTCTTTGACGCCTTGCGCTACCTCTCCGTTCACCTCCGAGAGAACCACCCCGTCAACCATCTCGCCGACCTGTACGAGCTCGTCCAGTATGCCGGCAACATAGTCCCGCGCCTGTACCTCATGATTACCGTCGGCACCGCCTACATGTCTATCCCCGACGCTCCTGTCAAAGAACTCATGAAAGATATGATGGATATGAGCAGGGGCGTACAACATCCCATTCGCGGGCTGTTCCTTAGATATTACCTTTCGGGCCAGGCCAGAGACTACCTGCCGACAGGAGATGGTGACGGCCCCGAGGGCAACTTGTCCGACTCGATCAACTTTATACTCACCAACTTTGTCGAGATGAACAAGCTCTGGGTGCGGCTGCAGCACCAGGGCCATTCCCGCGAGCGCGAACAACGGACAAGAGAGCGGAAAGAGCTTCAGCTGCTGGTTGGAAGCAACATCGTCCGACTGAGCCAACTCGTGGACCTGGAGACGTACAAATCAGGCATTCTTGCGCCTCTGCTAGAGCAGGTTGTGCAATGTCGCGATGTCCTGGCGCAGGAGTATCTGCTCGAAGTCATCACCCAGGTCTTCCCCGACGATTTCCACCTGCATACTCTGGACCAATTCCTCGGAGCCGTTTCACGCCTGAATCCTCATGTCAACGTTAAAGCTATTGTTATCGGCCTCATGGATCGCTTGTCAGATTACGCCGAACGCGAATCCAAGGACGACGGAGAAGGGGACCGCGCCAAGCTGGAGGAAGAGGCACTATCCGCCCTGCTGGAGAAGACCAAATTGCAGGCCGAAAAGGCATCACATGCGCCAGGTGGGAGCTCAGGTGTGGACGAGAACGGGAAACCCCTCGACCTCGATACAAACGGTGCCGCGCACGAGAGCAGCGAAAACGAAGCCCGTGCCGCAGAGGACCTCCCCCCGCCGGAAGAGCCAGCTCCTTCGATCGCTGATACTGAGGCGACTGCCGTCAATGGAGAAGGGGCCGACGCAGAAAAGGGCATCCCGGAGAACGTGCAGCTGTACGAGATTTTCTTCAGCCAAGTCAAAAACTTGGTGGATGCGCAGCACCTCCCCATCCCAGACACAATAGCGTTGCTGTGCTCACTGACAAACTTGGCACTGAACATCTACCCCGAGAGGCTAGACTTTGTGAACCAGATTCTCGAGTATGCCACGATCAAAGTCCGGGAAAACGCAAACAACGCCGACCTTCACTCTCCTCCGGCACAGCAAAGTCTCTTGGCTCTATTACAAGCGCCTCTCAACCGCTACCTTTCCATCTTTACCGCTCTCTCTCTTCCCACTTACGTTCCCCTTTTCCAGTCACAGTCGTACCCGACTCGCCGTGCTGTTGCTGGCGAGGTGGCTCGCACTCTTCTCCGTGATCAGACACGGATCTCCACCCCAAGCCAAATGGAGAATGTTTTGGAGGTTCTGAAGGTGCTCATTAAGGAGGGCTCCCAGACACCCTCCAACTACCCGGGCGTTGCACAGCGCCGCGCCGTCGAAACCGACGAGACTATGGAGGAACAAGGTTGGCTGGCCAGAATTGTCCACCTCATTAATGGCGAAGACAACGACACACAGTTCCGCCTGTTGCAAATGACCCGCAAGGCGTACTCCGAAGGCAACGAGAGGATTCGCACGACGACACCACCGCTCATCACAGCTTGCATGAAGCTCGCAAGACGCTTCAAGACGCGCGAACACTACGAGGACAACTGGGAGACCCAGAGCAATGCCCTCTTCAAGTTTATGCACTCTGCTCTGAGCACCCTGTACACCCGTGTCAACGGAGCCGGCGCTGCCGAGCTCGCCCTTCGTCTGTTCTGCGCATCCGGTCAGACAGCCGATATGACAGGCTTCGAGGAGGTGGCATACGAGTTCTTCGCTCAAGCCTTCACCGTCTACGAGGAGGCCATTTCAGACTCCAAGGCGCAATTCCAAGCTGTCTGCGTTATCGCGACGGCGCTGCACCAGACAAGAAACTTTGGCAAGGAGAACTACGACACCCTCATCACCAAGTGCGCTCAACATGGCAGCAAGCTATTGCGAAAGCCGGACCAGTGCCGTGCCGTCTACCTGGCTAGTCACCTGTGGTGGGCCACGCCCATGGCCGTCAATGGCGAGGCCGACGAGACTGGAGTAAGTTTGGAGCGCGTACCTGATCAAGCGAAACTTGCTAACTCTTCTTAGCTCTACCGCGATGGCAAGAGAGTGCTCGAATGTCTCCAGAGAGCTCTGCGCGTTGCTGACTCTTGCATGGAGACGGCGACGTCGATTGAGCTGTTTGTTGAAATTCTTGACCGATATGTGTACTACTTTGAGCAGCAGAACGCGGCGGTAAGTTTCTGCTCTCTATGCCGAGATCTTGTCTCTGTGAACATTGTGTACTGACATGACTACAGGTCACCACCAAATACCTCAACGGCCTCATTGAACTCATTCACTCCAACCTCGCCGGCAACCAGCAGGATTCGGCTTCGGTCGAGAACAGCAAGCGCCATTTCTACCACATCCTCGAGAGCATCAAGGGGCGGCAGTACGACGGCATTGTCCTGTACCCGAAATAAGCACCGGTACTTGGGACCCGATTAGTCCCTCAAGCCAGCAGGAAGCACTAATCCAATTACCACATGAAGACACACCTTACGAGCGCAGGGAGAATGAAAGGAGGGGATAGGGAGAGGAAACGGAAGAGAGGTTTCTTAATCAGCGGCGAAGGGACGAGAGGCCAACACGGGTTGTGAGAACCTGGTTGAGGTTTGGAGATTGGAGCAGAAGGAGAGGAGAGTGTGTGAGAGTCAAGAAAAAACGTGTTCATACGATAAGCGCATGCAATGAATTGGAACAAGACGAATCTGTGGATATGTTTATGCACAGAGAGAGGTATGAAAAAGCTTTGCATGTGACTTGTGGCCTTGATTGTATATACGTGTTGTCCGTTCCGTTTTCCACTGTCCAATTGAAGCGATCAAGCTTTTGTCATACCATGCTCGTGTATACATCCCACTGACAGAGCGATCAACACGATTGACACCACGGGGAAACATGGCTGCAGTTACACGTACGCCACAAGACTGCGGCAGTGTTGAAAATTTCGACTATCGTACCTTCGGAACATAAAAAAAAAGAATTTCGGAATAATGGTGTTGAGTAGCAGGATCCCTCCCTAAACTCCTTGCAATGCCAGAAACAACAAACAGAGTCGGCAGCAGGCTTTCGCGACGGGCGCTAATAGGCCATCAAACCCCAGAAGAGCCACCAAACGGAGTTTTTTGAGAGAGAAAAAAAGACGTACATAAAGGAATTGAGAGCAAGCGGCCCCCTTGGTACATGCACGGTGTCATGCATTCAAAAAAAATTTGTGACACTCAAACACACCCAACACACTCCAACCTCATACAAAAACACACAAGAAAACGAAATCCTCCCAAGCAACGGAGGCGGTGTTAGGATCAGCTGCTCTCTGCAGCCTTCTCCCATTCGGACAGCGAATTTGTCGCGTTCTGGATGATACGCGCCGTCTTCTCGACGAGCTTGTTCGCGAGCTCCCAGTTGCCGGCCTCGACGGCATCGCGGATGGCGGCAAAAGTGACGGGCTTGTTGCCGGACCAGGCCTGGGGCCCAAAGATGACGTGCTTGAATTGGGTACGGTCGGGCATCTATAATTCCGTTAGCATTTTAAGTCAAGGATAGCATGAACGAAAACACGTCACGGGAAAGGAAGATATGAAACTTACACCACCTCCCTGCTCAAGGTCCAGCAACGCCGTCTCAAACTCGGCCATGTGGTTGTTGAACTGAATACGCTTGTCGCCCATATCGCCCGACTCCCAGCCGCCTCCGCCCATGACTGTGCTCTCCCACGTCATCTCCCACATGGAGAAGCCCTTGACGTTGACCTTGGTTGCCGCAATGAGCTTCTTGAGAGGCTCCAGCGAGAACTTGTCTTGCGTACCCGCGCCCATGTGCTCGCAAAAGTTGGCCAGGTCGTTGATGTAGCGCTCGATGCGCTCGCTGTAGCCCACCATGTCAAATGGTAGAATGGGCTTATCCGCAAGCTCCAGGATTAGGAGGCCGACAATCTGGCCCATCATGACGTGGTACGCGAACTCTGGGTCACCGATGCGCTGGACCCATTCGTAGTTGTCATAGCTGGATTGCGCGGGGAATCGTGCGCCCCTAAAGCCGAGGTCCAGAGAGCTGGTGCCGGCAATGTTCTGGAAGGGAGCCCAGTCGCCGTCCATTCCGAGCTCTTCCAAGTCACCTTCTCGTTGATTCCAGAGATCGCGGACGGTCGCGTTCAGGCTTGCGTCGAAAACGCGGTCGATGACGCGGAGAACAGCCTGTTTGAAGACGGGGGATCCTGCGGCATGAAACTCGCTGCCTGCTACGGCAGAGTCAAGGTTGATGTAGGCAAATGCGTTTTGCCTGAGCAGTTCGTCGTTGTGCTCAACAAATTCGGTGGAGCCGATCATGTTGTACTCCTCAGCATCCCACGACATGAATTCGATACTTCGAAGAGGACGCCATCCCTTAGAGACGAGTGTGCCAAATATGCGTGCCATCTCAATCAGCACCGCCGTGCCCGAGTGAGGTTCCGTCGCACCGAAGGACCAGGCATCTCGGTGGTTTCCAATGATGATGGACTTCTGATCCTGCTCAATGCCCTCGATTTTGCCATAAACGTTCCAGATACCCTTCTGCTCCACAACGTCGTTGTCGTTCTTGAGTCGTACAATGGGCGAAGATAAGTTACCCGTCCACCACTCGGCAATATCGGGAACGCCTCCTGCCCATTCCTTTGGTACCTGCTCGCCATGGCCCTTGAGATGCTGAAGTAGGATCTGTGCATCGCGCCATGCGAGGGGCAGACTGGGAATCTTGGTCAGACCCTTGCTCTCATCGGGCTTCATGCGCGGCAAGTTCTTTTTGCTCTCCCAGCCGGGTGTCAGGGGGTCACCAAGGACCCAGTTCGATAGCCCGACGGTGCCTCTCTGAACACCATCGGCGGGCATGAAGCGACCGTTCGGCGCGACATCGCCCAATCTGAAGCCGTCATCCGCCGGATCGCTGTACACGATGCAGCCAGCGAAACCAGCGTCCTCTGCCGCCTTGACCTTCAAAGCCAGGTTTGCCTGGGGGCCATAATAACGAACAAGAGCGATCGCGCCCTTGGTGTCGATGCCGTGGTCCGCAAGTTTCTTGAAATCAGACCTCGCACCGTAGTTGGCGTAAATCAGGGGTCCCTTAACGTCTCCTGACTTGGAGAGGCCGTGGAACACAAAAGTCTGGTATCCAGCTGCTTCTCCTCCAACTTCCTCTTCCTCCAGCTTCGCAGTCCATTTTGGCTTCCCGTCATCGCCCATTATCTCCACGGCGCGTCCTCCGGCCTTTGGGTAGTTCATGTATACGTAGTATTCGTCGACGTTGACATAATCCAGCCCGGCTCTGGTGAACATAGACTCGACATCCATAGCCAGAGCGTAGTCGCCCTCAGTTCCTGCCATGTGGGCGTATTTGGTGTAATGAGCTACCGACGCCTTCAGCCGGCGGCCCTCAACGTTTTGTTGCACGTACAAGCGTACGTCCTCGGGGTTGAAGCGCAATCCGCCGTTCATGCGCCTAGCCATGCTCGTGAAAAGATCGCTCATGAAAAGTGCGTAAAGAATGCCCATGACGAAGACAACAGCAAACACCCGGGCAAAAATGATAATGGCCGTCCGCGCCTTGTCCTTGTTCCATTGAGGGAACGTAAACCGCGGTCTCGTCGTCGTCGCATTCGCCTCGTTCGAATTGTTGGAGTTGTCGCCCGAGCCCGAGGGCAGTCGAATTGTTGGACGCAAATTTGGCATCCGCCATCGCCAAGACCACTTCCAGCGTGATAAGGAGAGGGCGAATGGTATCCGTTTCCCCCATATTGACGGGCGCGATCTGTCGTCGGCGTCCCCTATCTCGAACTCTTGCATCTCCCGGCGCACGTATGCCGTCTCGTCGCCATCGTCGTCGCTGCCCCATGAGCTATCTTCGTCATCTGTTTCAACTGTTGGCGGCCTGTAACCGTTTGGGCGACGTGATGAAGTTGCGACGCCGTTTCTGTGTAGCAGCGACTGCGATTCCGTCTCGGCCTGAGAACGGTCGTCTAGCGGGGAGCGCGGGGGTTGCCATTCGGAGGGGTCGGCCGGGCCGCTTGTGGCGAGGGCTTCATCGTAACTGGGGATTGGCGGTACAGATTCGTACCGGTGGTCGCGATCCGACGGCATCGTCGCGGTTGTCGCCGGTCAGGTACAGGAATCAGAGGTGCGCTGTATCAAAGGGAAGTCGAAAAAAGCTGTCTATCGGCATCCGTATAGCAGCGAAGGTGAAACGAGCGGTATCAAGTCGGTCGGATGAGGGCGGAGATAGAGGGAAAAGGAGTGTTGGAAAGGCGCAGCAACACACGACGCTATCGAAATACTATGACGGAAGAGAAAGGTGTCCCATGGATGCTGCTGGGGAGCAGGCAGACATTGACCGGATCGACAGGATTAGGAAGAGCTAGGTGATGAGGCTAGTTGCGATGTCGAATCCGCTGGCAACGACTGAGCTCGATGGAGGTGGAATTGACTCTACGGCTGGCGATGTCGAAACACGAAGGTTTGTGATTTGGCATGGATGAACATGGAGGTGCTACTGTCCCGTCTTCCGTGCGGCAGTGGGCCTGTCCCCAGGCAGTTCCAGTTCCAGTCCCAGTCCAGTGCTGGCGACCAGTGAGTGCAGCCGCAGTTTAGTGACTCTGCCCACTGCAGAGTCCCCTTCTTTGCCAGGGCTATCCAATCAAAAGTGACGAGTGTCTTTCTGGGCAGCGAATTCCTGATTACGTACAGTGCTGGTTGTCCGTGATTACCTAAGGCAGTTTACGCGGATTCGTCAAAGAAAGGAAACCGCGGGATGCCATACGGATTACGGATACGTACACGATACGAGAGAGGGAGCCGAATAACAACCGGCAGGTGGTTACATAAGCGGGACCCCCATGGATCCGATTATGTCATCAGCACAGCCACTCTTGGCCCCCCCTCTTGGCTGTCACTTCTCTCTATTGCATCTCTGATTCCCGTCTCCGTCTCTGGATTACAAGTCCCACCCCTCCCCCCCTTCGTCTTCGTCTTCTTCCCTTCCACCCCTTGCAAGTCTCGAGTGAGGAGATATCCCTGCTGCCCCCTTTCTGATGACGAGACTCCCCACTCTTCCCCCTGCTCTCCACCGACGGCCACCTGTTCCCAATTTCAATGTGACCCAACAAACCCCTGTGTGCGTTTGTGCTCCATCTTTCAAAACGAAGTTCCTCGGGACCTCTCGCACGGGTTTCAGGTCGGCCCGGGCCCCGGATCGGCGCCCAAGAACCGGGAGAATCTGCCGTGGCTGGCCCCGGCGATTCATCCTGCCGTCCCCGGATTCAGAGATATCACGGATATGGCAAGTATGGGTACGAAGTGCCACTAAGAGCTGATTTTGACTTTAATCCGATTGTCGGATACGATTAGATGTTTATATCTTGGAGGTGCTCATGGCTTGCTCCGGGCTAGCAATACCCGGATGGGGGTTGCGCCCTACTGAAATAACTAGGCCAGACATCCTCCTCGTGTTAGACTAGTGAACAGACCTCCCGCTTACACCTTTTGCTGGCTTTCCATTTGCAATGTTTTTTTTCGTGTTGTTTTCGAGGGCATCGTAATCTTTGCCGCCGTGGGAAAGTCTCGACTTTTTCTTGTAAGTAAGTCTCTTGAACGTTCAACTGACAACCGTATCAGCCAGGCATTGCGTACAATTACAACCCTCTCCTCGCGCTACTCCGATACCGACTAGTCGAAGCCATCACCTGACGAACTCGAACCTTCACTCGAAGTTTCCAGCTAGAACACTCGAACTAACCCGATCCCGACGTAAGCACAGGATCCTCCTGAACTTGCTTGTCAGCCGATCCGAAACCACCCACCGCGATCGATTTCGAGGTTATCGACGAACCCTTCCACTACACCCCAGAGCTCCACGATCCGATTACAAATTCCCTCGGAACCTTGCGTTCGTCCCTCGCTTCAGAGCTTGCTGCTACCACGTTGGGGTTCCCTGAGATAGTCACATGTCGCTGTCAAAATCCGATGCTTGCGCGAATTCTTGTGCATTTGGAGTACCCAAATTGCCACAACGTTTCGTCCTACCCGAGCTCTGGATTTTGCTTCCTAAACATCACTCATGGCTGTTTCCCTCAGTAGACTTCCTTTAGCCTTTGGCCACCACTGCATGGCGTTTGTGTGACTTTCTAGAAGCGTATCTACTGGTGACACAAACGCTCCCGTCTAGGAATGGTAAACTGATGATCGTAACACAAGACACCAAATGCTGTACGCAGTTGTACGCGAACGAACACAACATCGCGAGATCTCCGTGTCACCCATCACTCGTAGTCTTTTGCCCGGATTGAACTAAAAATGCAACGGCGCGGTCGATTTGACTTGTTCTGGCTGCTGTGATCTCGCGCGACACCCTCAATTCGGAAATGCCGCTGTGTCAATTTGAACAATTGGCCGTTTATTCCCGTCGTCGGACACGCTACGGACATCTCTTTCCTCCTGGATTTACATGTGTTGATGCGAATTTTTCTGGTTTGGTCGACTTTCCATTGCCTAGATAGCTCTTAGTTCTTGGTGTCGTGCCGTTGTCCCGTTCAACACTTTTGATCCACGGCCTTTGGAGGACTCCGTTTGACAGTAACCGATTTCGGAGCCGTCCAACGCAAATTTTTGGCTCCGGGATAACAAAGAAAAGCCACGTATTTATGCCTTCAGCAGCCAGTTTACCAGCTCGAGCCCCGAACTGGCCTGTTCCTCTGCCCTAAAAAAAGACCGTTTTCCATTGATTCAGCCTGGTGAAGTACAGAAAACCGCGGCGTTCCCATGCTGGCACCTGTTAGGCCCCCTTAGTGCGTCGTGCTTGAGGCGCTATCGTCGTTGGCATTCTTGGGGTCAAGTCTGTCATCCCTCACACAAGACTAAAGTAGTCTTGCTACACAGAGTCCGATCCAAGGTCACATGTAAGCTGGGCTAGATACCGAGTCACTGCTGATATGATATTTCCCGCAACGAATGCGCGACGGGAAGCAGTACCGGAAAGCACATCTGCTTGGCAACTTCCCATCGCTCCGGTGGAAGCTTTCTAGCGAATGTCGCTAAATATGGTCCTCCACCCTAATGTAGGCAACTTTTGCATTCCCTCTTTTTCTTCCCCGTTGACGACCTTCTTCCTTTAAGCCCTAGCCGCAGCTTGAAAACGTGGCAGGCAATATAAGGTCTGCCATGGCCCGTTTCAATTGTCTTGGGCTATGGCATAAGTCTACGTTGATCCGGGTTGAAGATAATGGCATCGTCGTTCAAATCAATTTAGCCTAAAGTAGCATTTGCGATCCTAGCCTGTCCCTAAACTGCAACTCCGATTGCTGCCGAGAACCATCTCGTGCGCCATGATACGGTGATAACCACTGCAGTATTCGCTCTCGCTCAATCCTAGCAAGTAAACGAGTTCAGCCCTTCCTCCACGAGTCCGTCTTCCAACAATGCCGAAATAATGTCAATGATCAAACGCCGTTCGTGCCCAGGCATGCCCAGAAAAACTCAATGACAGCCTGCCGTCGGTGCCGGCTCATACCCTAACGCCCTTGACAATCGCCATCTGAACCGTATCATTGCTCATCAAACACGCCAGCTCCAGCGTAATCGCATGGTGAAAGTACGCCGCCATCGTCCCCGGGTGACATCCCGCCTCGTTCCTCGCCGACTCCGCCACGAGCTCCGGCAGCGTGTGCCCCAGCCCAAGACGCCCGATAATCAGTTGATTCGCTTGGATAACCAGCGGCACGTCGGGATACCAATCTGTCCCAGAAACCCGAGGGTTTCCCAATCGTCAGCGAAATCATTGCCCAAATTGGGTAGAGAATTGGGCCATTTTTGCCGAGCGACATCGCCCGCGTGCTTTTTCGTCTCGGCCGGCCCGGTCTGCATGTTATCAACGAACCTCGGTCAAAGATGAAATGTCTCCTGCCAAAGCCGTTAGCATATGTTTCCTGCAGCTGCTTCTCCTTCGCGAGTCCAGCCTCGGACGAGGAAAGTGGGAGTAGCGGCTTTGCTCACGCTTCCTGCGTCCCCGACGCTGAACCCGTCGACGCGCTCGAGCGGCTTGAACCGCTGCAGTTGCTCTGTGCTCTGCCTCGCATGTTTGAGGATTCCATATCAATTCACGTTGTCTGCACACGCCCGGCGATCATTGCGGAAATACTGCTCTTCTTCACGAACGCCCGCAAAAAGTCTGGGGAAAACGCCTCGATCATATATCTATATCTCTGTTTTTTTATTCTGCTCACTGCGATAGATGTGGCGTCGTGTAAAACGTTCGGTCGTGAGCGTGTTTGAGCAGGTAATCGCCTAATCAGGAAAGGGGCCATTTTTTCCCTCTTCTATTCAACTCAACGCTCTCCAACGCGAGTTGCCATTATTTGCTCAGCCCAAACAGTATTGATTGGCCACAACTGCCAGTCAAATTCTCGGAGACGTTATTGGTATAGCACAATGTATAGACTTTTTCCACTATGAATTGCCACCGGTGGGAATATCTGAATCGGCTCGTAGGGGTAGGCTCGGCGCCCGCGGATTCGAGTGTATCGGCTTTTGAAATCATTGAACTTACGAAGAAGCTCTGTAAAGCCGACAAACAGAACTTTACAGACCTCCGTCGCTTGTTGCGCATGAATTCGATAGGAGGCTCCGCACGTGATTTGATACAAATCTGTAGGAACTAGAAACGCTGTCAGCCATCCGATCTGGTCTACGCTGCGAACTTGCGGGGAGAAAGAGAGGGCAAGCCTGCGAGGTCAAAGCATGGAACCGTCCAGGCTTCTCCCAGGTTATCGTGAAAAGGCGCTGATTCGTTGATATAGTCCGCAAAGGAATTGCCATTGGCTCGTTGTTTGCTTTGTTTTCCGTATTCGTATCGTGTAAAACCTGACATAAATGTTTGTGAGACACTTGTGTAAGACGTCGTGCGACTACTGCGGTTGTCAACATCGTTCTAGGACTCTCAAGTCGGATCCGCGGAACTGCGCTTTTTCGATTCGACCGACGCTAAGGCAACCTGCAAGTCTCAGTATTGTAATATTCGGAACCCACGACTCGTAGGAGAGCCAACCTGAACAACTGCAGCTACTCTCCTGTGCTGTCGGCATCGATTCCACAACGTTCTGAATCATCGTACAAGACACGGCCCACCGTTGAATAGCCTTACTTGCCTCTCCACGGGCCACAGGACACGTGAGAAACAATCTGTGCCTCTGAACGTTCTTGAACAATACACTGGGCTTTGACAGCAGGTGTTTCCAACACTTGACCTACGGATCAACAGCTGGCAGGAAGTGTAAGAAACAACTGATTATTGGAAGTTGGCACTTACAAAGTTGCTCTAATCGCCACACGTAGACTTAACGAGAGTTCATGACAAATATTAATCAAAATGTCAACGAACTTCGAAAATCGTGCAGAAGACAAGGAAAATCGCTCTCAAGTTGTATTCTCGTTCCGTCGCGTCGTTGGAAAGTGTGTAAATTGCTAACTAAAGACAGATCGCAATTAGTAAAAGCTTTTCAACATTCCCAAATTTTACGGGATCAAAGAGTAAAATCTTCGTAGAACAAATGGATCTTGCTTACTGGTCCAATTTCGATTTCTTCTCCTGGCAATCTGAGAAGCTCTCGATATTTCTTGCAAATTCATAGGGCCTGCATTCCTCGGTCGAGGTCATGTTTTCGCCAATTGTTTTGGTTAGTAGCGACAAAGGATTGATAGCAAAAGGCTTTGGACTTCCAACGCTGTTTCTTGGCTTGTTGGAGTTGACTCTGTCAACTACTTTGCCTAACACCAAGAGCTTAGTTAGGCAACTCCGACAACTCGAACAGTCATACCACGACCGCCCGCATGCTGCATAGTTGTGGCTGACAACTTGCAACAAGACTTTCACCATATTCACGCGTCGTTCAAGTCCCGACATTCGGCCAATATGGGCCTTGCCGCGAGTTGTCCCGACGAAGGCATAGCCGGCGGGAACCGCTTGGATGCCATTGGGCCTCTGACTGCATGCCCCCGGAGTCGTCCGTCGAGGGGGATCGATGAGACATTGATTGCCTGCCAGTGTGGCATACCGATCGGGAGTTCGTTCCCGGCGGGAGCAAATCGTGATTGTTGCGTGACACTGCAGTACTGCTTCTCAGCCCCGGAACCTGGCTGCCTTTGCTCGCTGGCTGACTTCTCTTGGCCAGGTTTATGTTTCTTTTTCTGGCCGAATAGGAGATATGACCGAGCCATCATCGCCTTTTATTCGCTCCTGCAGAAGTTTGTTGGGTAGCAATTCCACCGATGGCTGGGAGAAGCGAGACGATCCAAAGAGTCAAAGTTCACAACTTTCTTGGGCCCGGAAGTCTCTGGCCAAGGTCCCGGATGAAGGGGAGTATCAAGTGATGGAGAGAGGGGATTGTTCAGTCGACGGGATTCGATCGATCGTTGCAAAAGGTTTTCTTGGGTTGTTGGATGCTGGAATCTGGGATCTTTGGTGATGCTGGGGTGGACTGGAGCTGGGTAAAATTGGTTCATGCTGTAAGTAATTAGCTCAACAGACGAACATGGTCATGTCTATAGGCTTCCTAGTACCACAGGGCCTCGTCACACAAAGTCAACGTCTTGCCTACCCTGCGGAACAGCATTTCGAAGAACTGGACGCAGGATAGGACACGGCTTCGTCCTACAGGTATGGATAACACCTGGCTTAACTACTTGACTGATGATAAAAATCGATTATCAGGCCCAGACAGATAATGCTGGCTGGTACGTGCTGGCGAACTCGTAACCAGGGGGTGTTCTGGCAGGATGAAGAACCTTTCTCTCCTGCTGTTAGTGCCCGACGGCGTCTCCGCCGAACTTCGTAGGCGGGATCCTCAGCACCACTATCGCTAGACTTGTACTACTTAGCCCACTCTCGAACTTGTTCAACGGCTCTCGTTCTCGGCAATTTTTAGAAATAGCCATCAAGAACCATCCGAGAACACCAAAGCGAAACGGTCTAAATGGGCCGTTTTTCCAATGTCCGTTCGTCGAAGCGTGATGTGAAAAGAAGGGGGGAGGGAAGCCTGAAGGGGGGGGTGGGTGTGGTCAGCCCCATCTTCTGGAAGTGAGGGAAGCATGTCAAAACGGGCGATTACACATTTCAGAGTTGACGAGGACCATGGGACGCCAAGGAGACGGGCAAAAGACTGTCTGACTGCTACACGGTCAACCCAAGTTCGGGGACGCATCGGTGCGGTTCGAGCTGCCCAAGAGGTGTCAGCTCGAAAAAGGCTACTTGCCCGGTTCTCTGTGCCCTGCAGTAGTGTGAGACGACGCCGTCCGTCAGGAGACCTTTCTGTCACCGTGAGATTTTCGGTCTGAGCTGCGTAGCGTCTTTGTTCATTGTTGTCTACGTAGCCCACCGCTAATAGTTGCCTCAGCGAAGTCTGCGAGGGCCTCTGCGCATCGACACAATATCTGAAAGTGTGGTATTTCCCCCTAACTGCGATATGCCGATGTGTCAAGCGCGGGATGGATCAGTGGTAAGCATTGGCATCGGCGCCAGTAAGAACCAGCGGTTGAGGGACACGGTCTCAGAGGAGCGGGAAGACTCCCGGATGAGGCCGGCGCGAGGTAATACACATGTTCACGCACGCCAGTGATGAGGAGCAGCATTCATTAGCGTCGACGCCTAATAGCTATCAATATGCTTCTAGATCTCATCATGAGGAATCCTGCAAACCCGTTGAAACTGTAAAGGCAACGGTCTACCCATAGTTGACACGAGAGAGACAAGAGACACGAGACGCCACAAGACCAACCGAGCCTACTGAATCTGATGGGCAATACAGTCCCACACCCGCATACCTATCTCGCTATCGCAGACACATCCACTAAAAGCTAAAGTTTTCGGGTACGAGGTTCTGAGTCCTAACGAGTTCCTAACAGGAGCCCAAAGGCTGGCTGGGAAGGGGGACACAGAAGAGATTGGGTCCCCGGGGCGGACAAGACCTATGGTCCGAGAAACGAGATCCAGTGGACTCTCTATTACGTCAAGACTTTGTTACACGCTCCGTTGCTGAAGCGCTGAAGCTTATCACACTCTCGTCGGGTAGCGGGACGCAGCGATGACAAAAAAATGAGGCCATTTCCCACTTCACGAGCAGGCGGGAAAAAGGGTTCGTTCATAAGCCTCGGAATACACAGGGCTTCCAGATCCTGACTTCCCTGTTTGACGCGGCGGCGGTCCCATGGTTCACAGACCGCCTTGGGGGTGGGCTTCAAAGCTTCGGGACAGACTCCAAGAAGGGAGAACGGGCCAGTCCGCCGTTCCTTTTGGCGTACTTTTGGCAAATTATAAAATTTTAGTCGTCGTAGTGGTCCAAGAAGAGACTTTGGCGGAAGTTGAGTAGGGAAAAAGGACCCAAAATGAAAATGCTGGTCGGGGAATGGCGGCCCTAGCTAATGTAGTTCGAAAGCATTGCGATTCAAGGGGCACGTTTTAGCCGCTTTAGCGTAGGGCGTTGGCACAAACCTGGAACCCGCTGGCTGACACGAACTTTGCGAGCCAGTGAGTGTGAGCTAGAGACAGACGGCTAGAGAGATGGACAGACGGACAGGACACATGGCTGGGTTTAACGAAGACTGGAATGTAGTGTAGATCAAGCGGAATTTATCAACCTGTGGCATATGGGCTAAATGTCACCACCTGGCGCTCGGCATGGCCCCATCCTTTCCGACCCTATGTCCCCCTCCATCCCTTCGCTAGGTAGAACATCGACTCACTCGATTCAGTTGATTCAGTCGACTCAGTCGCGGAGAACGAGAAGAAGGGAGAAAAAAGAATGTTGTCAGTCTCGGATGCTGCGGCGGCTGACTGGTCAATCTGACTTCGGATGTTTTAACCAAATAGGATTAGGAACGAGGAAAGGCTTGCGATCAATAACCTGAAGCATCTGTTCGCCTAACCGTCCACGTCTGTATCTCTAACGAAGACTAGTCCTAAAATCGTAAAAACGTGATCGGTAGTTGAGAATAAAATTTTTTTTCTTTCCACTGGAACATGAGAATCGGGTCTTGTTCACACCCCTCACAGCCGCAGCCTCCGCCGCCGCTTCGTCCGTGTGTGTGGTGTGGCTTGACTCAACCCCGTTTCCCGCCTCGCGCTAATCTTCGTAGTAATAACTCTCCTCTATGGATGCAGAGGACGGAGACCGCTCCATCGCGTTTACCTTCCTCCTATCGAGCTGCGTTCCTATACCGACAGCATGACTCTCCGCAGAGACATTCTTTGTCCAAACCGCGCCAGTAGCTCCCAGAATAATCCACCGTGACCTCGTGCCCCGCCTCAATGCCCTTGCTCACCAGGATGATGCGCTGTGTGCTCATCCACACAAACTGCTGGAATTGCGCGTTGGACTTGCAGCTGTGGTTGACGAATCTCGTAAAGTTGCCTTGCCGTCCCTGCCAGATCTGGTAGGCGCGTACACCAGTCGAGCTGTCCATGACATCCATGTTTTGCAAATCTTTTGTGATGAGGCCGACAAACTCTCCTATCGCCGCGCCGCGCTCAAACGGACAAAGAGCCATCAGGCCGTTGTTGCGTCCGTCAGAGGTCCGGAACACCTGCACCGGGCAGGGGCTCCGGCGCCCGGACCCGAATAGCGTCGGGAAGCAGTAGCACGAGTTGATCTTGGGGTCTTCGGATTGCTCCTGGCCACACGAGTGACATGTGTGCATGCCCTGGACGCAAGCCACGGCGTTCATCGGCGGCACCCACCGCGGGTCGTCGGTGCCCCACGCGCTCATGTCCATGACGGAGTGTTCGAGCTGTTCGTAGCTGAAGTAAGGGTCGTATTCGAGATATGTCGACCGGAGCGGGACGGGATCCGAACCGTCCTGGCGGACAACCCAGTCATGCGGGTGGCCGCAGAACCGACTCTGCGCGCCCTCGCCGACAATCATGAGTAGTTGGCGCCACGTGGGGTGCAGCGTGTCGGCGGCGACCTCGATTCGCGGCCGGAGGCACCGGAGTCGTTGCATGCTATCTGGGTTAAATCCAACTCGGTACTTGCAGAAGCGGTAGAGTCCCATGCCGGCGAAGACGAGCGCGGCCCAACCTCCCACATCCTTGATCTCCTTGTAGCCGCGCCAGATGGCCATCTTGTTCCGCAACTCCTTCTCAGACCACCCAAAGTCGTTACACGCCTCGATGAGCGCCGCCTTGCGGCGTTTGGTGGGGGACATGCCCGGGTTCGTGATGGCGAGCAACTCGACATACGAGTCGAAGTGCTCGATCCACCGCGCTTGGACAATGACCTCGATCGAGCGGCACGCGCGGCTGGCTTGCGTAACCTTTCGGCAAAAGATGTTGCTGCGGTTGAAGGTCCCCTCCATATCGATCTCAGTCAACGTGCCGTCTGCCGAAGGCGCCTGGAGCAAGCCGAGCTCAAGCTGCTCGGGAACGTGAATCTTGCCGGCGTTGTTGATGGTTGCTGTTGCCGCCGTTGCCGTGAGTTGCCACTGTTCCAGCAGACTCTGCGGATCTAAGCTGATGCCGCCATGGATCTGCTCCCAGACGCTGACGACGAACTTGTCAATGGAAGACTGCTGCGGGATGAAGACGACGTCGTTTTGAATCTTTGCGCGTTTGGGAAAGTTGTTGGCAACCTGCATCTGCCTCTGGCTGTCCGGCTGCTCTTCCTCCACTGGGGCTGCTCTGACTGGTCGTAGAGCTCCCGTTCCTCTTCTTTGAATAAAAGCATTTGCATCGGTCTCGGGTGATAATTGCGGTGGTCCTTGGGATGGCGTCCGTTGTGTCCGGACAAATGCCCGGCTGGCGCTTGCCGCGACGTTGTCCATCATCAATTGCGGGCTGATGGTGGGCGGTGTCGGGTGTTCGATGGTGTTTTCTCTTCCCGCATTGCTCGTATTCGGACTATTATTTGCGCTCTGTGAAATGATGCCAGACAAGTCTACCATTTTCTGTATAGTTGGTGGTGGTGGTTAGCAGAAAAACCTCTCGTACCCAACCAACTACCCAACCACCCATGCCACAACACGGAGGAGCAAGTGAAATAGACCCAGCAGTAAATCAGTTGATGCTGAGTCATCCACTCTTTATCTGTCTTGATTGGGTATCTCCGGGATAGTCTGCGCTGTAGAACTGGAGTCCCACGGGCAGCACGAAAGCTGAACACTTGCACGCATTCCGGCGCCAACGCGCGGTCCAGCCCGCGATGATAAACATGGAGATGCAACTTACCGAGACCACGGGAGAGCGGGGTGTTTGCCCCTGCGTTCCCGGCTCGCCGTCCTGGATGAAAGCTTCAAAGCGAAGCACCGGGTTTGCCAAGTTTCCAGACGAATAATCCCGCAGGGTTTCCGCAAGCTGGTCTAGAATCACCCGGCTAAGACCCTCTCGCAGAGTGTCCATCTGCTGCTCCGGGGACGTCATGATCCAGTTGCGTTGGCGGTAATGATCGGTCGGCGGGAGAAACACCTTGACGGCAAAGGGATCTTGCTCGCGCTGGAAATCAACTAGTCGGCGCTTCAACACCATGTCCGGGTGGGTTGACGACGGTAAATCGAAAGAATCGACAACCGTTTGTCGAGGGTTAAAGGATCAAGAAAAATAAAAAGGAACCAAAAAACGTGTCAAAAGAGAGACAGCCTAAAGAAGGACGGATCGAAGCTTGTCTCTATCGTTGTCAAACGGTTGATTACTGGGTATCATATCTGGCCTGCGGGCGGGTAACGGGACCAGGCATCAACTTTCAACCGAAGAGTGTGGGAGGCCAGCACAGTTTTAACGGCGGAGAAGAGAACGAGGACGCAGTGAACTGAACTGTGAGAGATATTCAGGGTCCACCTTCCTGCTCGTCTTTGGTCTGGAGGTGGGGTCAGTTGTGCCAAAGCAAGGTAAGCCGGGCCTGTCTTAGTCTCTCCTCCTCCTGGGTGTGTATACATGTATCTATGGCTGAGGACGAGAGAGGTGTGGGTGGTGAACCGTGGCCCGGTGGGTGTGTTGGGAGTGAGCATCAGCCGAGAGAGACGAGGAGAGTCTAGCCCATCAAACGCCAGCCTAACCTGGTCGAGCAAGGATCGTCGATGGGCAGATAGAACCGAATTGCTGCGTGGGCAGAAATTCCAAGGCGGAAGGGGGGGTGGAACTGGGCAGAACGATCCGCCTCGGCATCATACACTTTTCGTCGCTTGTTTTATTTATTAGCGGCGCCGTCACAGCCACAGTTGCAAACGGCTCGACAAAAAGGGTTTCTCCTCACGTGTTTTTGGCTACTGCTGCACTGATACGGAAGCATGCCCGAGAAACGGGCTGGCTCCACCTAGTCTCCCTTTCGGCGAGCAACCTTTCGCAACTTGACACTTTTACAACTCAACACTACTGCAAATCAGAGTCGTGACAGTGACGCTTGAACCCGAGTTAACCCCTTGTATGACCCGATAGACTTGACATGAGTCCATGACTGACTTGACTGACTGGTGTACTAGCGTCGCCGACACACACACTCATACACTCTCACTCAGAGGACACGCACAGGGGCTCAACCTTTGGAATACAAAAAAGAAAAAGCGTCATACAAATAGAGTTTACGTGGCGTCGGATAGCCGACGTCATCCCCGTCCCAGTAAGGCTGCCTGGAAACAGTCAGTCTGAGCCCAGCCACAATTCTCGCTGTTAGGGCTGCTATTCAACCGTCTGTCTCTTCTCGTGGAATTTGGATCGGGGACCGGGACCGACTTCTTGGCCTCAGCTTCTTCTTCTTTTTTTGCACACCAGCGCCAGCAAACCCGAGAGAAGCCTGCCGGTGGGCTCAAATTGCCGTCAAATGCGCCCTTCGGAGGCAGCCTCAAACCTTATTGTTATCAGTTGAGCCGCCGACACTACATGCCAAATTCCCCCGAACATTTCATCCTCTTTCCCTTATGCCCTTTTTCGGGCAGCTGTGTGGTTTCACATGTCTCTTTTAGGTCGCCATGAATCTCAGGCTCGGTCAAACAGGAACAGCCTTGACTATCGCCAGCCCACACACCCTTCCACTTCCTTACGAATCCCTATGTGCTATCTTCCACATCCATTCCTGTCGTATAATCCCCCGCTGGTATGCTGGCTTCCCCGCTTGAGACTTGCAGCGTATAAGTGAGAAGTGATGGTCACCGTACTGGTCGACCTATCACTGTTCCCTCCCAATCGGACCGCTCCGTGGTGTGTCTTTACTAAGGTTCAGCCATTGCACGGCGACCTGGTAGGCGGAGGTATTGCCAGACAAGAACTAGCCAAAATTGCCCACTTGCTGGGGAATCATTCGAGAGGCTTGCACGGGTAGCTATTTCCCCCTTAGGTTGCGCAAAGCTAAATGAACCAGAAGCTTTCAGGGATAGCGAAAGCGAATTACCGTGAGATCAAACATCCGGCGAACTTTCTTTGCGCTTCTCGTTGATTTGACAGCTCCTGCGCTTATTATGGCTCACGGCGCTTGTCTCCTCCCTGCTTCCCTTGAGAGGGCACAGTTGCGAGCCGACTCTGTGCAGAGCAGAAGAAACGGATCACCCAGCATGTTTTCTCGTCGCTGTTTCTTTCGATCAGAGGTTCTCCCTACACACCCTCCCCCCCAGTCCCCCCTTGTGGGTTGCGAGATCTCGTGTGCTTGGACGAGCTTTCCATCGGGTGTCCCGAATGCAGTCTGTCTGTTACGCTTTTCAAAAGTTTAGTTGTCGGCAATTCATCCTTAGTAGCCAGTACGCACAGAGCTGACCAACGGTGTGGCAGAAGCTATCATTCTGCTGGTTCAGTTTGACAGTTCATGCATTGTCAAAGATACGACAACATCGAGCATATTTGCATTTAGCCTATTGCGGTAAACAATGTTCCCAGTGCCGGGTCTTTTTTTGCTGTGCTGATTCGGCTTCTCCCGAGAACCAATCGATTTAGGCCGGTGAGTCTTCTTTTTTTTGCTGCTAGCTCAGCTTATTTGTTGCTAAAGACGAGTACCTACTCCTCCTCCTACTCACCATCTCCAGAAGTGTAATGCTTCGTAAAGTCATAGCCAAGTGCTTGTGCGCCCTGCCAGTAGAACCTTTTTGTGAGCCTAACTGCGAAACTGAAAAGAAATAACGATCAAAACGTCAGAGTGGCCTGTCATCCAAACTCACCTTGCTCAATTCTTTCAGCTTTTCTTGATCTGATTCAGCGTCTTTGCAAAGCTTGAGGAACGGGTCGGAAGCCAGCACCTCGTCGGGGTGGACGCTGAACATGCGTCGCAAATTGTCGCTGGATATCGGGTCAATAATGTCTTGATACTTCTGTCGACGCACTTGGTCGTAGACTTCCAGAATGCTCCGGCTCGCCTTATTGCGATACATCCCGGACAAACACTCGTAGAGACCTTCGACGTCGACGATGCCGCCGGTGAGGCCGAGACCCCCACTACCATGACGATCGTCAGCACAACCTGCGCGCTACGGGCCACGGAGATTACCGAGCGAAAAGAGCAAAGATGCCTACAAGGGGTTGCAGAGGTGCGCTGCATCTGCAGCGAGCAAAATCCGGCCGGCAATCATTCTCTTGGCTAGCCGTTGATGGACCTTGTATGGGCTGATACTGACGAGCTTGTACTCGTCCGGTTTAGGGTGTCCAGGTAGTATACTTCTAAACCTCTCCGGCTGCCTGCCGAGAATCTCTTCGGACGTCGAGCCCGTAGCTTCGCCATACGTTACACGCCATAGGCCGTCTTTGGTGATTTTGGCCGCCATGAACCAGTCCTTCGAGTCTAGAATGAAGTTGGAGTCTGTGTAGCCAAAGCGGCCAAAGTCGTAGTAGACCTGTGAGCTCATCAGTTCGTCGACCTGACACTTGAGCACCCGGACTTCTCGATCAAGAGAACCACATAACAACGGGCCGAAAGAGGGTATAACCTACGTTCGTGGCCACGATCTGCTCGTCCCATGTCCTACCAGGAAATTCGTTCCCAAACAGCGATCGCCGGACAATACTGTTAGCCCCGTCGCACCCAATAACAAAGTCCGCAAAAAGCTGTGACTTGTCCCCTGTGTCCCCGTTCTCCACGTCCACCCAGGCACGGGAATCGTCTTGACCGATGGCTGTCACCCGATGATGAAACAGGTACGTGACTGATGGCAGATGCTTCGAGTGATCGTAGATCAACCGCGCCAGGTCGCACAAGGGCAGTGCAACCATGCGATCTGGATCATCACCGTCAATCTCGTTGCTGATGCCCGCAATGCGCGTCCCGTCTGGCTTACGCCATGCGACTCCATCGGGAAGAAACCCGTCTTTCCGCAGGTCGCTCCCCAGCCCGGCACGATTCAGGACTTTCATCGCCGGTGGAGCGTAGTGTGTGGCTCTCGGCTTATCGTCGAGCTCCAATGTCTGCTCGACGATCGTAACGGGAATGGCGTCCCGCCCCAGAAGCAGCCCTAGCAGCTGCCCAGCAGGGCCGGCCCCGACAATGATAACCTAAACGGTATGCTCAGTCAAAGTCTGATAGTGGACAGGCCAGAGTGTTTACATTTTTCAGCCCTGGGCACATGGCTAGCTAGTCAGTACAGAGTAGGGGGAGGTGTGCTTGTCAAAGAAGGTTCGGTCACCCAATTGTTATGGGGTTATTGCGAAGAAAGGAAGCTCGGGAGGATTCACTCGGAAGATAATTATCTGGTAAATTTGATGTACGGTGTACCCGTACGTGTAATGATGTATGGTTCAAGTCCAATGTAACATACAGTAGGGCGTGTGCATTTGTGGTTGTAGGGGACGGAATACACTCAGGGTCTGTTATGAAGTAACGTACTCCGGGTCTGTTTTGAAGTAAAAGAACCTTTGCAGTTATGAATTCGTTGGAAGTTACATTCGATGATGCGTTGCTCACTCACTCTACGTCTCATGTGAATACCGCATGATCCCCGTTCCCCCGCGCCCATCACCGGCGCGGGCACCGGAACTCCTCCACATCCAGGATGAACGCTCGCCGGACTTAGCCTCCACAAACACCCGTGGACCCCACCATCCATCAACCAGCGATGTAACAATGTTTTGTGTGTCCCCCACATGGGGTACTATCTAATTAGATTGCCTTAGTTTTCTCTTCATCAGGCACCTAGGTGGCCCACTGATTGTTGGCCTGACTATTTTCGGCATGGCTGTATTTCAATAATCGAACGGTTTGTGGAGTCTCTTTGTCAAAAAGTAGCGAGTTAAACCCCGCAACCGTCGTCCCGTCGGAAAGAGGACCCATGTGAGGCAGGTGGAAGCATCTTGAGAAGCCGACACGAGCAGGCATATGGACATGGTCCATGAACGCACGTATTGCAGGGCAGGCCACAAGCACATTTTAGTCTAGTTTGGCATCAGAGCGATCCAAGATGCCGTCAAGTCTGGTTGGGCGAGTCATATGTCTCGGATTCTGGGCAGTACCAACA